AAATTTAACCTTTAGATAAACCAAGCTGCTTACTGATGTATTTGTTTTCATCCACAGACTTGGTGGCTTGCAGTGACAGTGATTTATTTTCTCATAGTTCTAGAGGCCAGAGATCAGGGGGTTGGAGAGGGCCCACTTTTGAAAATCTGGCAGCGTCTGTTCCTCACCTTTTCTAGCTTCTGGTGGCTCCAGATCCTCTTGTGGCCACACCACTACCGGTTCCCTGGCCTTGGGGTCTACCCCTGAGTCTGATTTTCCTCGGATTCTCTCTCATAAAGACACTTGTCATTAGAGTTAGGGCCCACCCAGATAATCTAGGCTCAGCGTCCTTATTCACAAAGACCTTTATTTATAAACAAGGTCACACTCACAGGTTGTGAGGATTGGGAGGTGAACATTACTTTTTTAGGGTCTATAGTTCAGCTCATTGCACCATCTCAAGCAAATTTTTGTGGTTAGGTATCAACATCTTCCCGTGTCCTTTCTTTTGGTGGCCCTGTCACCGTGGTCCACAGGTTTCCATCCCAAATAAAATGAGATTCTCAGAATGACAGTTCTGCATTGTCAGCCCACCCTGGGAAAACGAGTCAGCGTGACCTTGATTTCCCGTGTCGGGGAGGTGACACAGTGGTTGCTGCTTTTACCTGGGTCTCAGAGATCTCATTGCCTTCTGTTAGCCTTTGGTGGGTGAATGCCTTAAACAGAACTCGGGCCTTTTCGTTTCCAGGAGGCCCCCTCCCATTTTACCAAGGTTCTGGTGGAGGGGTAAGCAGTCTTTGATCTTTCTGAGGAAGCTGGTGATGGTCTAACTTACACTCCACCCGTGGGAGGATGGCTCGTCACAGACTCCTGGGGGCAGCAAAGGCCTGGGGGAATCTACTCGAGAGAGTGGGCCCTGCTCCCCACTGCAGCATGGACAGTCTCTGTTTAAAGCCTGTGACGTGCCCCCTCTCGCAGCGTTTGTGGAACCCTTCTCAGTGTTGGTGATTGTCAGAGCCTCCTGTCTCTTTGATGCTGAGTCTTGCTGCTCTTTGTTACAGTAAAGAAAGCAGGATGAACGGGCAGTACCAGCAGCCCACCGACAGCCTCAGCAATGACAACAAGTACGCGGTGGCTTGTGGGGATGTCCCAGGCGGGGTTGGCAGGGTGGGCACATGGGGAGCAGCACCAGCAGAAGTCCCTTTTCCTGTGGCCTCTGAATTGCTTCCTTGCTTGCTTCCCGTTACCTCTATTAGCAAAGGCTGTTTCCCGTGGGGGGCTGCCCCTGCCCAAGCTTCTGACTTCCTTCAGGCCTAAGGGGCTCTGTTCTGCCTGCCATTAGTACTGTAGAAAGGTGGCACAGGTAGAGTGGGTACCGCTGCCTCCACCACTGATCCCCACTTCTGCTGAGTGTGGCTCTGGGGATTTGCTGCACCCCAGTGAGAGCTGGGAGGGCTAGAAGGCAGGCCCAGCTCCCTCCTGCTACCGCTGGTGTTAGGTCAGGTCAGTGGCCTTCTGGCCTGCCTGGGCTGGGAGGGCCCTCAGTCTTCCCCACTCCTCCTCCTACCAGGTACTCCCTGTTTGCTGTCGTTAACCACCAAGGGACCTTGGAGAGTGGCCACTACACCAGCTTCATCCGTCAGCACAAAGATCAGTGGTTCAAGTGTGATGATGCTATCATCACCAAGGCCAGCATCAAGGATGTGCTGGACAGCGAAGGGTACGTGGCTCCTGTGGGGGCTGGAGGAGGCCTCATGGTTGCAGCCGTATCCCATTCTGCCCCCTTGTCATTTGGGTCCAAAGCCACGTCTCTTTCTAGTGCCTCATGAGTGACTCTTGATGTTCACATTATTTCCTGAAATAATGAGAGCTTGTTCCAGGTAGGACACCACCTAGATGGGCGGTGGGAGAGGAGAATGTGTCATGTAACTCCCAGAGCACCCACGCTGTGATCCAGGACCATCAGTTCTTCATCAGTTCCTCTCTTCTCTCCTGGATTTGTTCCTTTGGGCACAGAAAACTTTTGCCCCTTCAGGGACTGAGGGGACCCCTCTCATTTACCTTGAGCTACCCTAGGTCCTTATTCCTGAATGGACAGCAGGATTCCTGGCCCAGGGGTGAGGCCAGCCTAGCTGCCAGGAAGTCCTTTGGGGATGAACATGGACTCAGAGCATCCGGGTAGCCCCCGCAGAGGTTTTCAGAGAAGGTCTGTGTGTTGTTGAAGTGCAACCTTGAGAGCATTGCAGGAGTCGGCTACCCCTGTCGTGGTGGTCATAGTGAGCAGTAGGCCCACCGTGAGGGCAGTGTCCTTCAGGGACAGAAGAGGCAGTGCCAGAGGACTGCAGGAGTTGGATGAGCTATGGTAACTTCCTGGCAGGCAGCGGGTGGTTAGGCCACTTTGATGGGGACAGGGCAGTTCAGCAGGGGGACTCTTGTCCCTGAGGACTCAAAAACCAGAACCAACCAAGAAGTCAGACGCAGGCCACATGCACACGTGCTTGCTTGGCATGGGCTGTTGGATTTGAATGTCTTCGGAACTGGAATAAAGCCAGTATTCCTCTGCCTCCTCAGATACCTGCTGTTCTACCACAAACAGTTCCTGGAATACGAGTAGCCTCATCCACAGCTGGTCAGAGAAAAGGAGGGCGAGGAGTTGGCAAGCCTCACCAGAAGACCCCCAGCTTCCCCGACATCGCACCACCACGGCACCCCTCCTGTATAGATGAGCCTGCACACGTGATCCTTCTGCACCCGGGAGTCAGGTGTCAGAGTGGACGTGAACTGCCCTCCTGAGCATACGTCAGGACGCGTGCCCTGGATGGGAAAGGAGCCGAGGGAATCTGTCACTGGCGTCTCTCCTGTGCTCCTCAAAACTGGGAGATCTGGGGTTGGGGCATCCTCATGGCATGAAACTGCCTCTGCCTGGTGCTTCCTTTTGTCCTACCATGCACACAGTTTAAAAAGGTGCCTACCTGATGAAAATAATGGGTCCATCACGTGTAGACCAAGGTGGAGGCAAGGGCAGAGGCCTGGGGCGGCGGCGGGCTGAGTGTGGGCTGGGAGCCCCATCCTCCCACTGTCTCCTGCAGCTGGAAGGCTGCCCCAGAGCCCAGGGCCTGGGGGCGCTGGTGCAGGTTCCAAATACGTCTGCTCTGCAGGTAATTTAGTGTCAACTGCATGTGGAAGCATCAGCCCAGATGTTCTCTCAGTTTTCTAGAAATAGACATTTTCTTATCCCCTTTCCCTTTTCTCTTTTTCCACGATGGTGAATTTCATAAATGTAATAATAGTAAAGTGAATGACTATCGAGTTTATAATGAAATCTAGATCATTTCTTTATTCTCAAGAGTGAGTCTTGCTTTTTAATTGGTGCTGTTTCTGCTGTGCCCTTTCCCTCCCCGCCTTCCGTGGTTCGCAGCAGGCAGAGGCGGCGGAGGAAGACGGGGGACGGGGCTGCAGCTCAGATCTAGTGTCTTGATTTTGGAGTAAACGGAGCGTTGTCCCGTGGTTCCATGGTCCCTTTCCCCCATTTTCCTCCTGATCTTTGGTCCTGCTGCCTGTGCGGGGCTGCGTGGTGGCTGGTGTGTTGGATCTGAAGCTGAGTGACCCTGCTGGAGGCCATGTGCCTCTCTGCACTTGCTGTGACTTCAGTTGGAGCAGGAATGAAATGCTTTTGTGATGAGGTTGTTTCGGAGCTGGTTGAGGAAGTTCCTTGTAAGATATCTTGCATGTATCTAGCTATTCAAACCCAAACTTAGATTGTTAGTCCATTTTTGAGAAATTACAACCTGGGGACCTGGGGACGGAAGCGTTGTTTGGATCTAGTTTGTGAATGGCCATCTCTCCGGCTCTGCCTGCCCGGGAGCGCTGTCTGCATGGACTGCAGGATCCTGGTGTTGGGGAGAAGGAAATGAGCAGTCTCAGGGCTAGGTAGAGTTTTCTCATAAAGAGCCGGCAGGTGAGAATCTGAGGCTTTGTGGGCTATAGGGTCTCTGCTATAGGTAATATGTGAACAGTGAGTTTGGCTGTGTTCCAGTAGTCCTTTATTTATGGGCCCTGAAATTTGAATTTTGTATAATTTACATGTGTCAAGAAAATAAATTTTTTTTTAACTATTTGAAAATAAGAAAATTTCTCATAGTTGACAGGCCACACAAAGGCAGGCAGGGGACCTGAGCTGAGAAGCTGCTGCTTACTCAGAACCCAAGAAACCCAAACACCTGCCACGGGGTCGGCAGGTACGGCGAAGCCTCGCTGGTGCGGTTTGTGAACACTTCCCAGTTCATCTCTGTTGTGTTTCTGTGTTCAAAGAATATAAACTAAAGCATGTTTTTTAAATAAGCATTATTGGAAAGCATGGACGGGCCCCGATTCTCAGGCACAGCCCCAGGCGGCCTGTCTGTGTACTGTGCTGTGAAGATCTTCTCGGGAACAGATTTTTGTCTTTTAATCAGGAACAAATCTTTTGGAAAGGAGGCTGAACTGAAGGCAGCCTGCAGGCGTCTAAACGGGGAGCCTCAGCACCCTGACTTGCGGGGTGTCCAGACGCAAGTGTGAAGCCAGCAGGTGAGCTAGCTGGGCTTTCTGGCCCGTCACCTGTGGCTGGGCTGGGCCTGCGTCCTCCGTTGCCACACCCCTCCTGTCTCAGCTTGTGCCACTGCACTGGGACTGTAGAATGGGGAGAAAGATGGAGCTGTGCTCCTTTTTATAGGCACCATTTGAGACGTCCATATTCAGGTGGATTCTCTCCTTTACTGAGGCTTTGGCACTCTAAGCACTTAGCTCTGTCCAGCTGGGAGGCCCCTGGACACTCAGCTCGTGTTGGGCCTTGCCCTCGGCCAGGACCCTCAGCACTGGGTCCGTGTTTCTGCTCATGTGACTTGACTTTGTGAGGAGCAGCATATAGGGATCCCTTCTTTTAGCTCCCCGTCTGGCTCGTCGGTCAGGAGAACGGTTTTACCATTTCCCAGTTAACCACCCTGTGTAGGAAGGTGTTCAGATTGTCCCAAAGTGTGTCTTACCGTGGCGGGACTCGTTGGGTGACAACCCGATGCACGTTCATGACCCGTGTGCTAGGAAGAGTCTGCACCTCTGAGATGCTAGCTGTCATTTAGTGCTTCATGGTGAGACAGCTGGACTCGCCCTCTTCAGAAATCTGGAGGCAATGTCTTTGAGCTGTGTGGAGTGCTGGGGGCCTGGGTGGCCTGAGGGTGGTGTGGACAGCGTCCCTGTGCCTGGGACTCCTCAGCCAGGCAGCAGCCGGGGGCCGGGCCCGGGCTCTGCTCCCCTGGACCCCAGGATGGCCCCTGCGTGTCCCTGTTAGCAGCATCCCTGAGACATACCCGAGTGCTCTTGTGTTTTGGCTTGGTGTGTATGCTTTCACTTGTGTAAAATCGCAGTTCTTTTGACAATTCAAAGTGACTCGTTTCATTTACTATAACTTTAAAAACAAAAATTGTAAGAAAAAATTCCAATGATTGTGCTGTGGTTGGAGATTTTATTACCAAGATGTTTACACCTGCCCTTTCCCTGTCGTTTTGAGGGGCTGTTTGGCGCTCTGCTCCCTGATGGCTTGTAGTCTTTCCTATGTCATAATAAAGCTACGTTTTATTCTGCAGTCTGGCCCGTTCTTTCCTTGCTGATACAGGGTGGCCGGAAGTGTGAGCCTCGAGTGCGAGCAGCAGCTGGAGAAGTGGCCTGGCCCCGTAGTCGTGCTAGGCCTGGGAAGCCCTGTGCACCCTTCCTTGGCCCACTGCTGTTTGACCTCGTTTCTCCTTGTGTGGACAGGAAGAGGACGTGGAGGGTTCAGGACAGCCCCATGCCTTCAGACTGGCGTGCATGAGAGTCACCTGGGGACCCTCAGGGGCAGGAATCGTGCCCGGGTGGGATCAGCTGGCCTGGCTGTGGCACAGGAGGTGCATTGGCAGCAAGCTTCCCAATGATGAGAAAGCTGCGGATGTAAGCAGAGGAGAAATACAGCCATGGCTTTGTGTCTGCTCAGATTTTTTTTTTTTTTCTTTTTCTTTTTTTTGCAGTGCTGGGGATGAAACCCGAGACCCTGTGCATGAAAAGCCAGCATTCTACCACTGAGCCACACCGCCAGCCCACCTGGGTGTATTAAGAGACAGTTCCACATTCACACCTTGATTCTCAGACCTGTGTGCTGGCTGGCTGTGTCGGGGGCTTGGGGTGGGTCATATAATAGTTAAAGCACCGTATTTCCCCTGTCACAGCCCCATCCCTTCACCATTACCAAGTTCTCCATAAACCCAGCGACTTCCAGGTGGTGTGTTAGAGCAGGTAAGTCCCACAGATGAGTGCCTGTTCCTGCAGGTCCTCTGCTGTGGATCGGGCTTTGACCAGAGCAGTCACTGAGACAGGGTGGAGATACCAATGGGCAGGGCAGGCGAATTTGTACCTAGACATGGCTGTCCTCTAGTGAAGGCAAACAGCCCTTTCATGTTGAAAGAGACCTGGTTGAGCCTTCCTGGGAAATGACGCTGGGCCCAGAATTGGCCAGAGTCTGTCTGGGGCAGATGAGGAGCTTTGGGAATGCCACCTGGTGGGCCTTGGTGAGGGAGGGCGTATGATGTCGATCCTGTTGGGCCTTATTGCTGTGCAGTGGCCATGTTCACAGGCCCCCTGAGCAAGTGAAGGGCTAAGAGAAGTAGGCCACATGCATAGGCATGCCATTTAAGTGTCCCTTGTGGGAATTCTCTGTGCTCCCACCGAAGAGGACAAATGGAGCATGAATATAGACATCTTCATAGTATCTGCCTATGTTGAGAGGTCTGTCCATCACAAGGATGATGGGTGCTGCAGCCCACTTGCTGATTCCTGACATTTAGTGCTTTGGGATCCCAGCCAAGGAAGTGACAGTTGAGCTGGTGGGGGGGTTGGTAGTTCCACACAGGACAGCATAAGCAAAAGTCCTGGGGCCGCAGAGGTCCTGGTGAGTGCTGAGGCCCAAGAGGCTGGGGAGATGAAAGACCACACTGAACCTTCACAGACTCCACCCTCAGCCACGTCAGGCCAATGGGGGTGCAGGTCAGATCACTTCCTACAGTTCAAGGACTGCCAGACTAGTTGAACTGTGTTCTAGGCACCCCTGAGAAGTTAAACCAGTGAGAGAGGGTTACGAAGGTATCATACGAATGTCAACCTGCAAAGGAACATTCTCCGGAGAGCTGTGGGCCCCATCCTTTTCACTGATGCACTGAGGGTGAAAGGACCAGGCACAGAGTTGCATCCTGCATCGGGTAGACTCTGGGGTCCAATTTCAGCCAGAGTGAACCTGAAGCCCCAATCTGGATCAATGGCTGCCTTCAAGTGTGCACACACACCCCTGAAATCACACCCATTTTACTCCAGGACCTGGGAACTCATCTGAGACAATATCCATGCAACAAATTCCCCAAGGAGAATCCAGACTATTTAAGCCCCTCCCACCCCAACTAAGCCCCTCCTACCCCATCCTGTCGCCCTCAGGAAGCAGTCAATGCCGTGGAGAGCACGATACTTCTCAGGAGATGGGAGTTCTCGCTGGGGCTCTGCTCGGTCCTGAACTAGCGATTCCCCGCTGAGGCCCCCAGACCCTCATCTGGAAAAGGAGAGGAGGGGAAGGCTATCAGGAATGGTCGGAAGGTTCCCCCAACCTCTTCCTGTTCCCCTGGTTGTGGCACAAATAAGTCACACGTGGTTAAAAGTAGGAGCCAGCAGAGCATCCTTAGTCCATTTCTGACACTCGTGAAGAAAGGACGTTTATAGTCTCATGGTCTGAGGTCTATAAAGACATGGTGCCAGCATCTGCCGAGCAGCTCCGTGCCACGTCTTCACGTGGTGGGCACCCCAGGGTGACACACTGCACGTGTGCTAGAGAGCACACACTCCTAGCCCAGCCTCTCCTGCCACAGGCTCCCCACACTGCTGCCCTGGGCACCAGATATCCAGCTTGTGATCTTTTGGGGACACACACCACAGCAGCGAGGAAGTCATTTTTGTGGATTGTTAACAACTGGAAGGTCTAAAAAGACAGACAATCCTGTCTGACCCGCAAGTCCATTCATTTCAACAACTATTTAATATTCAACATCCTGGAGGGACCAAAGCCAAAGTCCTCCCCACGGCGTAGAGGGCGCAGTCTGGCGGGCGGGTAGAAGTGAATTTGTGCTATGCTATGGAGACAGGAAGGTGTGAGGCACAGGCAGGGAGGCAGGACCAGGGAGGGTGGGGAAGGGTCTTCAATGTGACCACTTTGGAGCCGAGGCCTGCAGTACCCGAGGAGCACTGGGCCATCAAGGTTGGACATTCCAGGTAAAAACACCTGGCCGGGGATGGGAAATCGGCCCGTTGGGGCACCCTGGGGAGTTCAGTGTAGTCTATCCATTGAGTCAGGAGTAGAGTGTGGGCACAGTCAGCTCACTGTGAGCCAGTGGGGTGACTGCCTGGTGTCTAGCTGGAATTCGCCATGCTTCCCGTGCTAGTGTGTGCATGTGGTTTCTTCTGCCTGGTCAGAGCCTTCGTCGCTGCATGTGAGGTTTCAGCCTCCCTCATCGGTCAAGGGTTAAGTTTAACCTCTGCAGTGGAGGCCAACGACTGCACTACAGACCCCGCTGCCTGAGCTCCAGTCCCAGTTGTGGGTGTCTTTGGCAAGTCACTCAAACTTTACAGACTTGGTTTCTTCATCTATAAAATGGAGAAAATGTAAAAACTGCTAAGGGCTGGGTGTAGGGCAGGCTGGGTGTGGAACTCAGGGGACTGCTGCAAGAGTGTCTCTGTCTGTTTTCCGTTGCTAGTACACCATGCCACAGACTGGGTTTGTTGTAAAGAAAAGAGATTTTTATTTATCTCTCAGTTCTCAAGGTTCTTGGGCTTGAATCTGCTGATGGTCTCCCTGGCAGAGTCCTGAGGCAGCACACAGCAGGAACATGTGTCTATTCTGGTCTCTCTCCCTCTCATAAAGCCACCAGGATTCAGTCACAGGATCTCTAATGACCTTATCCCATAGCAACTTCCGTAGGCCACATCTCTAAACGCAAGAGTCACTCAAGAGCATAGCACCAGGGGAACTTGAAGCCACTAAAAGTAAACAGTGACTTCAAAATCCAAACCCAGCTGGATTCCTCCCTAGATGACTCAAACCCTCACCCTAAGGGACTGCAGGAGGAAGACAGGCACATTTCTTCAGTCTTTGCTCTTCTGCAGGTCTAGCCTTCAACCCAAACCTGCAAGATAAAACAGCAAGCAAAACCCATTGGGCTGGGCTGTGGCTCAGTGGCAGAGCACTCGCCTCTCACGTGTGAGGCCCTGGGTTCGATCCTCAGCACCACGTAAAAATAAAGTTTTAAAAAAAAGCCCTTCATCAAGAGACAAATCTATCAACAGTGGGCTCTGGTGGACCACATGCTTAAATAGATGAAGAATTTCAGCAGAGAGACACTTCAGTGGAGGGAAATGGAAATGTAAAAGAAAAAGTGGCAAGATAGAAAAAAATAATATGCTTTTGATGGGCCCATGAGTAGATTCAACACAGCTGAAGAGAGAATCGGTGAACTTGAAGGTTGATGGAAAACATACAAACGGAATCACAAGGGGAAAAAAAAAAATATATATATATATATATATATATATATATATATATATATATAAAACAAAATAATAAGGTACCAGAACTTTGGAACAATATAAAAAAGGCACACATTACAGAGACCAGAGGTAGAGATTAGTAGCATGTGTTTTGTCTGAAATGATGCAAGTCAAAGATTAATAGAGTAACACCCTTAAGATGCTAAAAGGAAAACCACTGGTAATTTCCAATCTTACACCTTGAAAGAATATCTTTCAAAAGTAGAAAAGAAAGAAAGCCTTTTCAAACAAAAACTGAGACCAGCATTATAACATTATAAGATAGGTTAAAAGAAGTCCCTCAGATGGAAAGACTGTGCTACCAGGAAGACGCTTGGATGTTCACTAAAAAAAATGAAGATCCCTTGAAATGAAGGCAAACATAAAAGACATTTATTTTTTCTTCTGGCACTGGGAATTGAACCCACTAAGGCACATACATCCCCCGGCCCTTTTTGAAATTTTGAGTCAGGACCTCACTAAGTTGCCCAGTCTGCCCTTAAACTTGGAATCGTCTTGTCTCAGCCTCCTCCTGTAGTTGGGTTACAGGCAGGTCCCTGCCCAGTAAGACATTGTTTCTTAAAGGTTTAATGCCTCTGAGATACTATCTTTCTAAAGCAAAAGTAGTAACAATGTCTCCTGAGTTTACAGAACTTGTAGAAGTAAAATTTAAGACAACAACAGCACAAAAGATAGGTGGGGGGAATTTATGGTCCTAAGAATCCTACCCTAAATGCAAAGAGATGCATTACTATTTGAGGATGGCTGTGATTGATTAAAGATGTCTAATGTAAACATGGCTTTTAAAGAGGCACAGACAGATCAGTGTTGCTGTGGAGTCAAGCAGAGGTTGGCAGCCCACAGTTCACATCCCACCCTCCACCTGTTCTAATCAAACAAGTTTAGTTTAGATATCACTATTATTTATTAAAATCACCCCCGTGGGCTTGCTGACTAGCTGGGGCTGCTTTTGGATTCTCATGGCAGAGTTGAGTAATTGTGGAGTAGTTGCAATGGAGACTGCATGGTCCACAAGGTCTAAGATACTCTTTTACTGATCCTTTCCAGAAAAAAAAACTTGCTGAGCCCTGTGGGGTTGCAGGAGCAAGGTGGCAGTGAGGAGGCTCAGAGAGGTGAGACAATAACCCAGGTGACAATGAAGAGAATTCAAATTACAGAGGTCATGCAAATGACTGGAATCAGGATCGATTTTCAAGGTAGAAGCAACACATGGTGGGCAAAATTGACAGTATCTAGGTTTATTTCTAGCAAAGGATACTTTTCTTTTAAAAACAAAAACAACAAAAGCTTAGGCCAAGAGTCAACTGAACAAACTATACAAACAACTCTACAAGATTAATTGGGTCTGCTTGAAGTTGGATTTGGATGTTCAGCATCCTGTTTTCAGCAATCCCTCCCCCACTCCAAGTGGTTCCAGAAGCATCCTACAGCCAGACCCCCCTCAGTTCAGATGAGCAGAATTTGAAAACCACAGATCAATAAGAATAGCCATCTGCACAGCTCCCAGACGTGCCTTAACACGCAATGCTACATCTCTGAGCACACACCAGTGCAGTGGTACTTGGCCAAGTGTGGGTCTACAACATGACCGTGTGTAGAGGGGCGCAGCATGAGAGAGCTCACATACACCATCACGTCCTTAACCTTACTGTGTAAAGGCTCCTAAGAATAGCTAGGCCACTCAAGGTTTAAATGCTACTGAAACTGTAGGTTTAAATGCTAATTTTAAAAATGGATACAAAAGAAAAAGTCTCCTGCTGGGGTTCAGCTAGACCTTTGCTACCTCAGCTCCAGATGCCCTTCAGGCCTGTGCATGGGTGTGCACGCACACACACACACTCACATATACACATACACGCTGTCCTTTCATGGCCTCACCAAAGGGGCATGGGAGAGAATTTGTTGTTTGTGAAAGAACTCAAGACACTCAAGTCCCTGCTTCTCACGTACTGAGGGCACCCATCTTCTCTGCAGACCATTCTTCCATCTTTCTGAGCTCTCTCTCTCTTAAATGAGGCAGCCCCACCAGCTCTCTGGGAAGACCGTCAGAGCCCCCAGGTCCCCCGGCAGCTGCACTGGGCCGAGTCGGAGCCAAGGAGAGCAAGGGGTGGATGCCTGAGCTCTTCAGATAGAAGGACACACCGAGACCCCGGAGGAGAGGGAAAATGTTTATTTTACAGGGAAAAGGTCTCTTGGAGCCGCGACCAGCATGCACAGATGACTTTATTGCGTGTGTGTTTAGGTGACGGCGACTTACGGTTTGCACGGAACGGGGGATAAAGGATGTCCATGTCCGAGTTCTGGCACCTGTCCCCTCTCCTCTTTCCTCTGTCTGTCCTCCTCCTCTCGATTTCTCTCTCTCTCTGCCCCATTCCCTGCCGGTCGCTCACTCCCTCCATAGTCTCTTCATTTCTTCCTCTTATCTCCCTCCTCGTCTCCCTGCGTCCTGGTCACCCAGCTTTCATTCACCGGGGACCCCGTCCAGGGCGGGCGCGCACACGACACCAAAACAGCCGTTGGTGGTGGCGTGCGCGCAGGGCTGCGGGGCGGCCGTTCCCGCGTGGTGCACCCGGCTGTCCTGGCCCGCAGCATCCGGAGCCTGCAGCGCGCCTGCGCTCTCCTGGGTGGGCGCCCTGCGCTCCGGGAAGCAAAAGCTGCACGTCTCCACCGGCTCGGGCGGCGCGTCCGCACAGCTGCCAGCCTCCATCGCGGGGTCTGCGGGGACAGGAGAGGACGTCGGCTGGGGGCGACACTACCCTGCACTGCTCTACCCACCCCAGGCCCGCCCGGACTCCAGAAGTGTCCCCTAATCTAGGAACTAAGAGCCACCCCAGGCTCGCCCCTTTGGCACTCGGCTTTCAAATCTTGGCTCTCACTTAACGCGCCCCCCCCCACACACACCCACAGGGTGCGCCCCCCCAACCCATTAGCTCAGAGAGCCTGCGTGCCCGTGTCCCTTACCTGCGCTCTCTCTTTCTGCCTAGCCATTTTAACCAAGATGTTACCAAGATACCATAGGGATGTGTCCCAGACTTCTACCTATTAAGACCTGGCAAACACATCTGCACCCATTAGCTGGCATAGATAGGGCTGGGGATGGAGCTCAGTGGAAGAGCACGTGCTTAGCACGTATGTGCAAGGCCCTGGGTTCAAACCCCAGCACGGCGAGGGGAGGGGCGGGGACCCTAATTCAGAAGCAGGCAGTGACCAATGTGCGAGTCTGGTCGCACAAGCAGTAAAGAGGACGAGGACCCCGGTTTCATGCACTTACCGTGGGAGGACTTGTTCCGGGTTCTGCACCGCCCTGCCGTGGGCTGGCTGGAGAGCCGACCTCCCCTCCTCTTGAGGAAGCAGGCAACGGCCACCAGGAAGCAGCAGAGTATGGTGCAGAGGCACAGCCCCAGCGTGCTGTAGATCAGGACCAGCTGGTCGGCGCTCAGCTTGGGTCCTACGAGGACTGCAAGACAAGTGCACCGACCTTGAGTTCAGGAGGGGAACTCACTCCCCAAGGCCCTTCTCGGATGGCCAGCAGCCATCCCAACCCCTCCCCCACCCCAGCCACCCTCAGCGCCCCTTCCTGACATGTCCTTCTTTCCCCCTCAAGCATTCCATGTGACGGTCACCAAGTTCCAGCTAGCTGCCCTCCTGTCTGACTCGTGGAGAGGTGGGGTTCCTTTCCTGACCCCAGGCTTGGCTAACATGCTCTCTGGGTCCTGAAGGAAATTGACATCCTCTGCCCCACACTTCTTCCAAGACTTCAAAACTGAACACTTAGCCCTTTCGCTTGTCTCGGCGTGCTAGGGAGTTAGATCGGAATGGTCCCGGAGGTGGACAGATGTGCGGATGACAGCGCAGGAAGAGAGTCTCCATCTCTTCTGCACCTGGCCCCTCCTCCACCGGGGAGCCTTCCTAGATGATTATACTTTGAGAGCAGGACCCGCAAGATTACTAACCAGCCCCCCCCCCCCAGCCTTGGGATACCAGAGAAAGACCCCGTTGCTGGGTCAAAACCCTCCTTTGACATTTTTCCTTATCCCAAGTTTCCTTCCTGGCCTTTGGAATTGGAACATGAGCTAGGTCCTGGTGTGGAAGGACAAATAGCTAGATGTAATATAGTATGCATATATTGGACTCCTGCATGCAAACTTGTGCGTAATGGGACAAATTACCGAGCCCATTCTAGGTGCTGGGCACTTTTTTGCACAAGTATTTTCCTTCATCTTCTGACTCTACTGGATAATTGGTTGCCCCCCGTTTAAAAAAAATATTGAGAAATAATTCATCTGCCATCCAATTCATCCTTTGAAAGTATACATCTCTGTGTTTTTTTTTTTTTTTTAAGTTGTTGCCACCTTTGGATCACTGTGAATAGCACTGCTAGGGAACGTGCATGTGTGAGGCTTCCGTGGATGTGTTTTTGAATTCTCTTGGGTGTAGACCTAGGAGCTGTGTTGCTGGTTCATGCCATGATTGCTTAACCTCATCAAGAACTGCCAGATGGCTTTCCACAGCACCCCTGCAGAGGACTGCATATGTGGCATACGTTAAGGGCACCCGAGTGTCAAACTCCGCAGCCACACTCTCCTCTGTCCTGTTCCGTGGACCTCCTCGCTGGACCAGAGAGAGCCCATGCACACCTCGTCATTTTACACACCATTTTGCAGATGACAAAACTGAATTGCTAAGTGATATTGTTTGTTCCCAGTCTTAGATCTGTGACTGGGAGCAGGTCTGATGGAGTCCCAGGCCACAGGGCAGGCACTGTCCCCTCATCCTTACACACACTCTTAGAGTCAAGAGTTGAGGAAGTGACGGGGCTAGCAGGATGCTGGTGTCACCATGGCATTTACAAAGTGGAGACAGGCATTCTGGGTGAACTGGTACCACACGTGGGCCTGGGGTGCTGTCTTGTATGTGCCTAGAGCTCAGCCCAGAAGAGGGGCACCAAACCCCGCCAAGGGGGCACGCCCGAGTGCTGGCACATGTGGTCCTTAGGAGGTGGTGCTCCACCTCTGGAGACTGAGGCTCACTGTTCCCACTGGGCCCTGGGATAAAACACAAATGTCCTACTGGCTGGACCCACGGGACAGAAGCCAGCAGCCTTCACAGCCGAGACAGAATGGCAGCTACAGACAGCCACAGAGCAGAAGTGACTGCGTAATCATTCGAGGAGGAAGACCAGACATTTGCACATTTGGAATATTTCCAGCATGAGGTTGGCATAGACCGCTTTCCACAGCAGAATGACCACGGCCACCACATCGGGGCGGAGTTCCCTCCCTTCCAATCTGGGCTGAGTCCAGACTCATCTCACCCAGGAGGATGCCCTGGGGTAACCCTGTGCCAGCCTTGGCCCTACACCTGAGGCAGGCCTGGCCGCCCCTGCTTTTGCTCTCTTGGGAGACCTAAGCGTCAGAGCCAGGCTTCCAAGGTCCCCATCCCTAGCACCATCCCCTTGGTGTCCCCATGAGAGACCCCAAATGAGGCCAGCGGGAGACTTGCCCAGCTAAGCCCTGCCCCCCCCCCAACTGCAAAAAATAGTCAACGGCTGTTATTTTTAGGGCACTAAGTTTCAGGTGGCTTTTCCATGCTGCAGTGGGCGACTCTCAAGAGCCCCTTTGTTTTTAGGGGGAGTAAAGGACTTTTCCAGTTTCTCTGCTTTTCCTCTCTGCCCAGACCAATGGTTTCAGGTTTTCCTGGGGGAAGTGAAAAATAGTCCCTACCTAGAGCCCAGCTCAGAAGTCAGGCTTTTGAAAGCCCCTGGACTAAGAAGAGAAATGCAAATTAAAATTACCAAAAAAAAAAAAAAAAGTCATTTGCTACCTGTCCCCCAAGGGGTGTGGGAAAACAGGCACCTCCCTTGTTGCTAGTGCAGGTTGGCTCTTTTCAGGGCCATTTGAAACCATCTGTCACCATTTACTTTTAGTTTTTACTTGTTCAGTACTAAGGATTGAATGAACCCAGGGGCACTGTACCACTGAGCTACATCCCAAAATCTTTTTATTTTTTATTTTGAGACAGGGGTCTTCACGAAGTTGCTGAGGCTGGCCTCAAACTTGAGATCCTCCTGCCTCAGCCTCCTGAGTCACGGGGGATTACAGTTGTGCACCACTGTGCCCAGTCATCTACCACCATTTAAAGTGTAATTTCCTGATTCCTTTGACTGCCACTCTCATGTCCCCCTACCTACACACAGGATCACTCTACCCTGATCCCAGAGGGCAAAGGAGCTCAGTCACAAGCACGTTTTGGGAATGGAACCCAGGGCCTCACACATGCCAGGCAGGCACTCTCCTGTGAGCAAGCTTTGTCAGTGGATGTATCATTTTTTTGGCGGTGTTAGAGATTGAACCCAGGGCCTTGTGCATGCAAGGCAAGGACTCTGCCCACTGAGCTATGTCCCCAGCATCAAGCAAGCTTTGTCAGAATCGATGCCCATGGAAATCAAGCTCCAAGGAGATGGCCCCTGATTGCAGTTCCCAGATACTACCACCAGAGGGCACTGCGCACAGCTTCTGCCCTCCAGAGGGCCAGGCAGGTCCCAAGGCATAGTTCATTTCTAAGCCAATGTTTGTGAATTTCGCTTTGCTTTTTCGCCTTATGTCTGTCTTTTAAAAAACTGTCTTCAAAGCCATCTCTCACTTAAAAATAGAATTTCCACAGCCTGCTTGCTGTCCCAGCTCCGGCTTGGGCTGTGCCTCTCAACCATATTATAAATCATCCCTTAGGGGACACATAGAGATTTGGTGACCCCAGCAGGGCTGAACCGAAAACCCAGTGTGGGCCTGGCTGTTGCACTCACTAGAGGGGCAGGAAGCCGTGGTGATTTTAAGCTGGGGATCTGCGGCCATGACTGAATGCAGCTCAGTGTCTTTGAGCCTGTTTCCCTGTCTGCAAAATGGGGTCTGACATTCTGTCTCTCAGCACCGAGATAATGCAAGTAAATGCACCAGGCCTGGGTGGGAATCCAGCAAGTCACCGAGGTCCCCACACCTCCAAGCTCACTGGGCACGGGGAAGGCCCTGGGGAGAGGTGGGCGGGGCTGGACCCGTGGGACCTCTGACACGTGTGCCTGGCTTTGGGACCTCTGACACGTGTGCCTGGCTCTGGCCTCCCCTCAGGCCCAGAAGCCTTCAGGGACTTCACATCCATGTGACAGTCCACTCGGCCGGTCTCTGCTTCCTACAAGTTCTGTGTACACTGTGTGATGCTTGGTCGAGTGTTGGTGGGGAAGGGGGGTTTCCTGTGTGAACTAACAGCCTCACTTTTAGGTCACTGGGGGGGGGAGGCCTTCAAATGTCCACTCTGTGAGCCATTCCCAGAGGACACCCCTTGTCCCCTGTGTGTCTAAACTTGGGAACAGATGGGACGCTGGGAGGCGGTTTCACTTTGGGTGTGTGAACTTCCACCGAAACCATTTCTAGAATGTCACGGCACCCCCCCCACACTCCACTCACCTCTCTCCCTGGGGTCCCTGGATCTTTTGGGGACCCCCTTCTCCTGAGGGCGAATGTGTTCTCCTTGAGGGAGGGGAGCAGCTCTCGGCCGTGCCAAGAGGCAGGCCCAGACTCTGTCCAGGCCACGTTGCTGTTTACGGCCCCTTTGCTGGCCCTTGGGTCACATCAGTTGGCTGTTCAGCTGGCCCGGGTCACTCCAAAGTGGCTCCCAGGTCCCACAGCCTACGCCAGCTGCTGCCCTCCATCTTGGCTCTCTTCATAACCAAGTCTCCTCTTCCTCCCCTCTCCACGCACGTCTACCCTGCGCCCTCGGCTTCTGCCCAATCTTAGCAGATCCCTGGACCTTGGCTTTAGTGGGGGACAGAAAAATGGGAGAGTGGTCCTGCTCCCACTGGGGTAGCCCAGAACAAGGTCAGGACAAAGAGGACCCTGAGAAACTGAAAAATCATTAAAACAGCGACTAGGGACACCTATCCTGTTCTAGTCCCCAAAGTAAATGAAACCTTGAGCAGTTCTAGGACCCAAACCGTGGGACCCTCCCCCCTGATCCTGGCTAGCAGCACTAAGGTCTGAGCCGAGTCTAGACCTCACACAGAAGACCGCTCTGTCCCCACCGGGGGTCGCTGCTGAGTAAGTTAGAGGGGGCTACTGTTTTGGACTTGGCCTCCTTCTGCCCAGGGGCCTCCCAGAACCAGGCTAAAGCTGGAAATGGAACCTGGGTAATGGTGGTGCGCACCTGTAATCCCCGTGACTTGGGAGGCTGAGGCAGGAGGATTGCAAGTTTGAGGCCCAAACCCGGGCAACTTAGCAAAGGCCCTGGGCATGTAGCTCAGTGATAGAGTACCCCTGGGTTCAATCCTGAGTCCCAAGGAGAAAAAAAAATTTAAAAGGGAGTCATTCACGCGAAAGAAGAAACCAAGCTAAAAGAAACTAAGCTGTTTATCTGACCTTCCAAGAAATCAGGAAAGATGAGAGAAGGGTCAGATTTTCCCAACAGCACAGTTTCAGCCAGCAGGATAAGGAAGTTCCTCCGTCTTCCACAAGGAAAGTTCACCTGCAGGAACCCGATGTGAGCCAAGCAGTTCTGTGTCTGTGTCTATCTCCCCATCGTGGGTAAAAATCCAAGTTCTCCAAATAAGATGCTATCCAGAGCTCCAGCACACACAGGGTCCTGGCTGTCCCCAAGCCTGGCCTCATGGGAACAAGCCTGGTCACATGGGAATACTCATAGCTCATAGTGCCCTGGGGGATGTCTCTTTCCTCTTACGGTGCCCCCCCCCCCACAACCAAGATATGTCCCCTCATAACCTGCACATGTGACGACAGAGTCTTGGCAGATGTAATTAAATTAAGGACCTGGGAGACTTGATCGTCCTGGATGAGGGTGGGTTCCAGATCCAATGACAAGTGTCCCCAGAAGACAGGGGAGGAGAGAGGCAGACACAGAGGAGGCCAGGAATAGAGCCTGAGTTGAAGATGGGAATCGAGCCCAGAATGATGGGGCCACAAGCCCAGGAATGCCTGCAGGCTACCTGAAGCTGGAAGACGGAGAGAACCCAGCCCTGGGCGTTTGCCCTTGGGTTCTGACCTTCTGCCCCTAGAACTGTGGCTGTGTCCACCTGTGTTGTTTTGAGTCACTTGGTCTATGGGGCAAGGTCACCGCAGCCACAGGAAGCTACCCAGCTCACCTGCAAGGGCAGCTGGTTCTCATGTGCTACACACACACACACACACAGCAAATGGAAAGTCACCTGAGCCTTGGGAGAGCCCCCAGGAGGGCATTATGGGTGGGGACAGTTGGGAAGGAGCAGTCCTGAAACTTCCCCAGGTCACCCAGGTCTTAGCCTCCCCTCCCCCCCCCGCCCACCTCCTAATGTCATACCTCTGTTCCACTCAGGTCCTTGTTATCTGTGGCCAGACATAGCCTCTCACTCGGGACCCTTGCTGCCATCCACGTCCCCAGAGGCAACGGGAAGATCGCCTCCCAGCCCCTTTCTGACTCTCTTGTCCAGTTGCTGCGTCCCTGCCTCGAGCCGGACACCGGCCTCCCCAGCCCGGCAAGAGAATCCCTCTGTCATCTGGCAATCACCTCTCCCGGTGCCATCTCCAGCCACCCTTGGCTGCTAGCTGTTCTGTCTCATTCCCCCTCCTCTTTTCTCTGCAAGTCGTCATCACCAGACCTGCTAGAGAAGTGGATGATGGGTCACTACGTTCCTGTCCCCCTAGAAAGAAATAATATGTAGATATTGGGGATTGTACCCAGGGGCGCTTAACCACTGAGCAACATCCCCAGCCCTTTCGTCAATTTTTTTATTCTGAGACAGGATCTCCACGAAGTTGCTTAGGGCCTTGCTAAAGGGGCTGAGGCTGGCCTTGAACTTGTGATCCTCCTGCCTCAGCCTCCTGAGCCACTGGGATAGAGATTAGTCTATCATTAGCGTAAGTCTTGTCTGTTGTCTTTCCCTCCGTGAGACTCTGGCCTCCCCCAGGCACGGCAGTCCTGAGTGGGCCGCCTGAGAATCTTGGAATCCATTGAGGTGGGCCTCGCAGTGCTGGGTACGGGTGGTGGGGACAGACCAACCCTTCACCTGGTGTCCTCTGCTCCCTCCCCTCTGGTAGGTCCACATCTGGGTCTGTCCCCTGTGCATGTGGCCCCGACTTCCTGTTTACAATCCACACCAGCCCGGCCCCTGCCCCGGCAGCCCACAGAGATATGAGAAGAGAGAGCAGAAGAGATCTCAGCCGCAGGCCACCAGAGAGATGCCGGGCAGGGAGGGACGGGGGACAGCAAGAGAATCACCAAGTCTCTGAGGCTCTGGGAGGGCCTGTGGTGTCCCCTGGTGACACCACGGTTTAGCCAAAGCTGCAGGGTGAGGCCCAGTAAGGCTGACCCCCCACTCCTGACCTCCCAACATGTCCTTATGCACCCCCCCTACACATCCTGGGAGCTCTGGCCCTGGAGCCAAGATGAAGCCCCAAGTACCTTCTGGTGAGGGGGCTTGGCTGGTGGTCCCAAGCAGGATGCGACTCACCTCCTCCTAAGGGCAACCGGTCACCCTCAGGAATCAGTGATCCCACCCATGGGTCCTGCTCTGGGTCTTCCTGCTGTTGCAGGGTGGACAGAGCCCAACTCTGTCACGTACTTGCTATATGACTCTCAAGGGAACTCTGGCCTGCTGTTTGATAGGTCAAGGGCAGCTCAAGGTCGTCTTGGGTGCTCACAACAGGGTAGGGAGTCTCGAGGTGTCTGCTGGGTGGATCGATTCGATTATTTTTGACACCTGGCCCTCAGCAGCTGCCCAGCAGACTCTTCTCACTATGTTCACGATGGCCATAATGTTTTGTTTGGGTTAGTAATATCTCTTCCTTCTCATTCAAAGGAATTCTCCGTTGTCCCTAACCGGAGGCTGAGATTGGGTGGCCTCCTGGCACAGTGCTCACGTAGGTTGGGCTGCTCATGTTTCAAAAACTTGTTCATCTGAGGATGGCCTGAAATCCCAGCCGCTCAGGAGGCTGAGGCAGGAGGATCGCGAGTTCAAAGCCAGCCTCAGCAAAAGCGAGGCCCTAAGCAACTCAGCGAGACCCTGTCTCTAAATAACATACAAAATAGGGCTGGGGATGTGGCTCAGTGGCCGAGTGACCCTGAGTTCAATCCCTGGTACCCACCCCTCCAAAAAAATCACATGGTACTCCATAAATTGTAGAATTCTGTGTGAGTTAAAATATATTAAAAAGTGTCATGTATAACTAATTCGTACAAATAAAAAATAGATGAAAAGATTTTTTTAAAAAAGAACCTCAGTAGCTTCCATCACAAGTCACGCCATTTCTTCTGCTACTTTCTTGCCCACACACTTGTGGAATTTTTATCTAAATTGTTTTGTATCCTGGGTTGACTACCCTGGCTTCTGACCATTTGCCTGGACTCTGGGCTTCTTATATCGCAGAGTCTTCGTTTTTTGTTTTTTTTAAAATATATGTTTTTTAGTCGTCGACGGACCTTTATTTTATTTATTTATGTGCAGTGCTGAGAATCAAATCCAGAGCCTCACACGTGTGCCAGGCAAAGGCTCTACCACGGAGCTACGACGACCCCAGCCCTGCAGACCCTTCTGATCAGGCTTGGTGCCCAGCCTCCCGTGCATTCTGGCCCTCCCCACCACAGGCTTACCTGGACCTGCCTCTGAGCCTCTGTGTTCCAATCCCTGGTACCTTCCTGAGTTATCTGACCTGGTTTCCGTCTCCCCTGTCTGCGGCCTCCTGAGCTGGGGTGGAAGGTTCACTCGACTCCGGAGTTTGTTCTCACAGAAGTATTCACATTGCTTAGGGTGCTGACCACAGATGGGGGTGCAGCTGACGCAGTCTTTCAGGAGACGGTCGTAATATTTGCCTTGCTCCTTGAGGCAACTGAGGGACTCTGGGAAAGAGAAAGGAGTGATGGGTGACATGGGCCTGCAGGAGCTCTGGGTCTAATCTCAAAGGACATCAAAGTTAAAAAAAAAAAAAGTCACAGTCCGACTCAAATAGCAATCCTGGAATAATCCAAGTCTTTTTACAAATCGAATTTATACAAACGGAAGGCTATGAATGATCCTCCAAGTGCTGCTGTGGCTGCATCACACACATTTTGATACATAGTGTTTTTCCTGAATCTAGTTCAAAATGTTTTTTTTTTCTTTTCATTATTACTTCTTCTTTGGCCTATAGATTCTTTAAAAGACTCTTCTTTTAAAAAAATAAATAAATATATATATATTTTTTAAAAAGATTCCATTTCTTAGTTTTTAAGCCTAGGAAGATGTTCTACTTTTCTTTTAAAAGTGATAAACTAGATTCTTCAATTGCCTTAATTGTCATTCTTTACTTGCCTTTTCCAAACCCCATCAAGAAGAAATATATCTCCAATTAGCCTAAGGAACAGAGGGGAAAGGTCAGAGTCCTCTTTGGCAAGTTGCGGAGGGTGGGATTGGAAGACAGGTGGGAAAGCTCACATTAGTAGCATTTTGTGGGTTTTAAAAATAAATGGGAATGACAGCCACTAGAATAAGTATCAGTGCCAAGGAGCAGAAGCCAAGCAAACTAAAAGCCCAAGCACCTTGACCTTCAAGAGCTTGACAGAACCTACACTGGGGATACAGAGAACTCTATTTAAGGGCTCCTTGAGGGCACGGCTCAATGGCGGAGCACTTGCCTAACATGCACAAGGCCCCGGGTTCCAGCCCCCACACTGCCAAAAAAGAAAAATAGCTGGGACAATCAGTTTACCTTCTAGAAAGCCTGAGGATATTTTTATTTCCACAAGTAAACTTTCTTTTAAGATTCCATTTAGGGGCTGGGATTGTGGCTCAGCGGTAGAGCGCTGCTCGCCTAGCACGGGCAGGACCCGGGTTCGATCCTCAGCACCACATAAAAATAAAGGCCCATCTACACCTAAAAAATAAATATTAAAAAAAAAATAATTTTTTTTTAAAAAAAGATTCCATTTATAGGGGCTGGGGTTGTGGCTCAGCAGTAGAATGTTCGCCTAGGGCATGCGAGGCCCTGGGTTTGATCCTCAGCACCACATGAAAATAAAATAAAGGTATTGTGTCCACCTACAACTAAAAAAAAAAAAAATCATAAAAAAAGATGTTGAGGTTATGTTTTAGGGGACCTGGTGTGTGAGGGATTCATGATCTAGTATCTATAGGTAAAAAATGATATTTTAAAATTCACTTTAAAATATTCAAGCAAAAAAAAATGATCGGAAAACAAAAAGGCAGAATTTTAATGATTTTTTTAAGCCGATAACGGGGACACAGGGTCAACTCTTGTGTTTTTGCGTGTTTGACCATTTCTATAATAAAAATTTTCAAGGGCTGGGGATGTGGCTCAAGCGGTAGCGTGCTCGCCTGGCATGCGCGGGGCGCTGGGTTCGATCCTCAGCACCACGTAAAAATAAAATAAAGATGTTGTGTCCACCGAAAACTAAGAAATAAATAAAGTGGAGAGGGTCGAATGAGGGGGTAAAGAATCGCTGATGAATGAGTGGGTGCATTTCCTTCCCCTGACCCCATTTCTCAGCCTCCGGACGGCCTTGGGGCCAGAGGGAGCTTTGGGGGGGGGAAGTAAGGTGTGGGGAGGTCCAGCTGTCCCCTGGGCTCAGGCCCCAGAACTCACTGCAGAAGGCTGCGCAGGTGCTCGGTCTCCGCTGGCTGCAGATTGGCTTGCAGGACATGCAGCCGTTCAGCAAGGAGTCCCAGTACTTCTCCTCAGGGCAGGATCTCATAGCCACCCCAAGCCACAGGCCCTGTGGAGCTGAGAGGTAGGGAGTATAAGGGTGGCTGGCAAGCTGAGTGGAGCCAAGGGGGCCTCCCTCACCCAGGTTCCCAGGGACATTCCCTGAGTCTCTCAGTGGGCAGAGGGCACCCAGGCAGAGCTGGCTCCCCATTCCAGCTGCACCGACTGGTGCCACCTCACCTTTCCATGCTTGAGTTTCCCCCATCTACGAAATGCTTATTCTGAGAGTCCCTCCCTCCTTCACGTCGGCCGCACCCTGCTTGGCCGTGCTCTCTGCCCTCCTTCCATGCTGTGCCTCTTTCTGCCACAGGACCTTTGCACACACTGTTCCCATTACATAAAAGGCTCTTCTTCCCCCGCCCCCCACGACCCCTCCCCATCCTCAAGATTTCTGAAGCTTTTTTTTTTTTTCTTTCAGGGAAGACCTTTCTGACTCCCCCGACCCTGTGACAAGCCACTTTTGCTTGTCACTGCGATAACTTTCCTTTCGTGCTGCGTCTTGCACCAACTATGGGCATCATGCGGAAGGGAGGGTCTGGACCGAATTGCTAGGTCCTCAGGACCTCGAGAGTGCCTAGGGCATAGTAAGTGCTCATGAAATGAATGGATTTATTTATTTTATTTTAAAGCCGACCTTGCCTACAGCAAACACTCCGTCAATGTTCCCTCCCTTCCCTTTTTTATTATTTACTGTGGTGTGAAACACAGACAGGGACGTGTGCAAAGTGCACAAGCCTTCCACATACAGTTTGGTGACCATGGATACATGGTATCATTTCAACGCAGTGTGGAGGGAGAGATGGGCTGGTTCCCTGCACCCTGGACCACTCCCTGGGGCCACCTCCCATCTCAGACTCTTCCCAGGGGTCGCTAATGTTTTGCTTTTTTTGCTTCATTTGTTGCAATGCTGGGGTCAAACGAGGCAAATGCTCTGCACGGAGCTGCATCTCCAGTCCTGCTCTTCCAACTTCTTATCCCCACCCTTCTAGAACTTTCCTGTCCGGCTTTATCTGCCCACATGATTTCCCAGTCTCACCTGCGCCGGTGCTTGGCAGCCTGTACGTACTTGGGCTGAGATGCAGCACTTCTTTGATAAAAAATGTTCTGTCTGCTCTTAGGACACCTGCCTCTCCCTTCTCTGAACCCAGGAGCACTTTACTACGGAGCTGCATCCCCAGGCCCCCTTTTATTTATTTTTTTTTTCTTTCCAGGCAGGGTCTTACTAAGTGGCCCCGGCTGGCCTTGAACTTGCCATTCTCCCGCTCAGTCCCCTGAGTCGCTGGGACTGCAGGTGTGCACCCCCGTGCCCGCTCCCAGCATTTCTTATTCTCTAACCGGGAGAACGTGAGTGACGTCCCCCTTAGCAACTCTTTCCACCTCCGTCTTCAACAGCTGGAAATCAGCAGACGGAAAGAACTCAAACCCAGCCAACAGAAGACCTGGGGCACCTGGGGCCAGCAGAGGTGATGCAGGAAGCAGAAGAAGACATCCATTCCCTGGTCCCCAAATCCTGGAAGGTAGCAGTGGGGGGGGGGCATTGCCCAAGTTCCTGGTTAGCGTTTGCTGGAGCCAGGTTGGGCCAGAAGGCCCTGGTCCTTACGATATCAGGGTTGTGGGTTCTGGTTGCTGACTCTGCTGATTTGGATCACTCAGGGGCCAGCACCACGGTGAACCCCACAGGGCTGAAGTGGCTTCTGGGAGATTTAAGGAGATAGTAACCCCCTCTCCTTTTGGGGAGCAGAACACTTAAGGAAATCTTTGTGAGGATCCCAGGTGACCACCGAGCTAGAGGAGCAGAGACATCAGCAACTGTGCACAGCAAGGAACACATACCATGTGCAAAAAAGAGCTTAAAAAAGTCACAAGTGGACGGCTACAGTCCTTCATGAGCAAGAGCCAATCCCCGGGGAGTGGGGGGAAATCAGATTTTCAGAGTTACCACAGCATAATACTGAAAATGTCCAGTTCTCCAAAACATCACAAGCCTAGAAATGCTCACAGGAGATGAAAAACTTGACATTACGTTATCTCCACAGAAGGCTGGATGTATATTGGAACCATCAGCCAAAGGTGTTGATTCAGTGATTTTAACTATGTTCAAGGTAGCTCAAGGAAATCATGGGCAAAGAACTAAAGGAAATAGGAAGACCATGTCTGAATAAAAAAAGAATATGTACACTCATACACTGCTGGTGGGACTGCATATTGGTGCAGCCAATTTGGAAAGCAGTATGGAGATTCCTTGGAAAACTGGGAATGGAACCACCATTTGACCCAGCTATCCCACTCCTCGGACTATACCTAAAGGACTTAAAAACAGCATACTACAAGGACACAGCCACATCAATGTTTATAGCAGCACAATTCACAATAGCTAGACTGCGGAGCCAACCTAGATGCCCTTCAGTGGATGAATGGATAAAAAAATATGGCATTTATATACAATGGAATATTACTCAGCACTAAAAAATAACAAGATCATGGCATTTGCAGGGAAATGGATGGCATTAGAGCAGGTAATGCTAAGTGAAGTTAGGCAATCCCTAAAAAACAAATGCCGAATGTCTTCTCTGATATAAGGGGGGTGACTCAAAATGGGGTAGGGAGGAAGAGCATGAGAAGAAAATTACCTCTAGATAGGGAAGAGAGGTGGGAGGGAAAGGGAGAAGGGGAATTGCATGGAAGATGGAAGGAGACTCTCATTGTTATACAGAATACATGTATGATGATGTGAGGAAAAAGAAAAAAAAGAATAGCATCACATTAGATTGGGTAGAGAGAAGAGATGGGAGGGGAGGGGAGGGGAAGGGGGGATAGGAAGGGCAGCAGAATAAAATAGACTTTATTATTGCTGTATGTATATAGGTGACTGTGTGACCAATGTGATTCTGCAACCTGTATACTCAGAAAAATGAGAAATTATACCCCATTTGATTCAAATGTGTGATATGTCAAGATCAGTTTACTGTCATGTGTATCTAATTAAAACAAATACACAGCCAAGAGCAGATCTGAACGTAGACCGTGGGCCCCAGGTGGCATGTCCCCCGAGTGGGTTGACCATCACCAAGGTACCCGTTCTGTACAGAGGGGGAAGCAGCCTGTGTTTTGAGGCAGGATGAGAGTCGATGGGAACTCTTTGTACTCAATTTTGCTGTGAAACTGAAACTGCTCTAAAAATAGTCTCTCTCTTTTTTTTTTTTAATTTCATTTTTAAAAAGGAACCAAACCGAAATTCTGGAACTGAAAAGTACAATGACCGAATGAAAAAACTCACTAGAGGGAGTTATCAGAAAATTTAAGCAGCAGGCAGAAGAAAGGAATGGTGAACCTGAAATTATTGATATGTAGAACAGGGATTTAAAAAAAAAAAAAAACAGACTTGGGATAAAAATGAACTAACTCTCAAGGGCCTGTAGGACCCCTCGCTGACATAAGAGTTCCACAAGGAAGAGATAAAAGGGCAGAACATTTGAAGAAATGGTGCCCCCCCCCAAAAAAAATACTAGCAAGACAGAATCCAAATGCACATCCAAAAGATTCTTCACCATAATCAAGTTGGGTTCATACTAAATTTATTATGTAAATCAATAAATGTGATATGTCACATAACAGAAGGAAGGACATCCATTTGGTCATCTCTAGAGACTCAGAAAAAAGCACTTATTAAAAATTTAAATTCATTGATCATAAAACCTCTCCATGCATTAGGTGTACAAGGAGTGTACCTCACGGGTGTGGCTCGGTGTCAGAGCACTTGCCTAGCATGCACAAGGTCCTGGGGTCCAGCCCCAGCACCTAGAACAAAAATAAAATCCCAAACAAGAAGGAATGGATATCTCCACACCATAAAACCCGTGCATGACAAACCTTGCTAATATAGCAAAAAGGAAAAGGTCGAAGGATTTTCCCCTAAAAATCTAAAATGAGACGAGGATGTCTACGCTTTCCTGTTGTATTCAATGTGGTACCGGAAGTACTAGCCAGATCAATCAGGTAAGAGGAAGAAAGGAAGGCATACCAATTGGAAATGTCACTCAATTGTCCTCATTTGCAGATGGCATGATCTCATACATAGGAAAACCTGAAGAATCCACAGAAACATAATCAGAACTCATAAATGAGCTGGGAGGGATGGCACAGAACCTGTGATCTTAGTTACTTTAGGGAAGTCAGGCAGTAGGATCATAAATTAAAAAAAAAAAAAAAGAAGTTCAAGAGGACACAAGCCAATAGGAAGATATTCTGCGTTTAATGAATCCTAAAACGCCCCATTATCATATTGGGAGATGTTCCAACTACCCAAATTCAAATGCAATCTTCATCAAAGTACTAATGACGTTCTTTACAGAAATCGGGGGGGGGGGGGGCGGGGATCACAGTCCTAAAAATCTGTATGGAACCACAAAAGAAAATGAGCATGAAGAGATGATCTACAGAATAGGGAAAAAATAATGTAACAAGGGTTACTATCCAGAACTTACAAAAAAATTCAAACATATCAACATAAAAGAAAACAAGTGATCCTATTGAAATATGCAAAAGATCTGAACAGACATTTCTCAAAAGGCACACCAATGGTTACACAAAGAGTTGATGAAAAGAAGCGCAACATCACCGATCACCAGGGACATGCAAAAGAAAACCACAAGACATCATCTCACCCCCCGTTAGAATAGGCTGTGATCAATAAGGCAAGAAATAACAAATGCTCAAGTTGTGGGGTAGAAGGGGCTCTTGTGCACACTGTGGGTGGGAATGTCAGTTAGTGCAGCCATCGTGAAAATCGTAAGGAGAGTCCTCAAAAAGTTAAAACTAGAATGAACATACCATCCAGCAATCCCACTACTGGGTAATATATATATATATATAAATGAATTTAGTGGGTTCAAAAGACATCGACACTTTCATGTTTATTGTAGCACTCGTCACAATAACCAGATTTGGAATTAAATGGCCAACCACAGATGAATGTATAAAGAAAAGGTGGTCTACACACATGGAATACTACTCAGCTATAAAAACAACGAGATCCAGTCATTTGCAAAACCATAGGTGGATCTGGATGATATTATTTCAAGCAAAATAAACCAGACACAGAAAGACATTTACCCTATGTTCTCACTCTGATGACCTCATGAAAGTAGAAATCTAGTAGAACAGTGGTTACCAGAGATTGGAGAGAGAAGAGAAAGTGGAGTATGGAAAGAGACTGGTACAAACCTATGGAACAGGGATGTGTTCTATTACCTAGTAGGGTGATGATTGTTAATAATAACATACTGTGTATTTCAAATATCTAGGAGAGAGGCTTTTAAATACTCTCACCATAAAGAAGTGACAAATGGACGAGGTAATGGATATGCTAATTACCTTGATTTTTATTATTATGCAATGTATACATATATCAAATATAATATTGTAACCCATAAATAATATGTACAGTTATTTCATGTAAATCTGAATTAGCTGTCAAAGAAACAATGGCCCCTCAAACACCCCTAAACTGAGGAAAAGGCAGGAATATACACATTTGTGAAGCTCAACAATCTCCAAGCAGGGAAAAAAAATCAGAAAAACTCACACCAAGACACCGTATAATAAAATTATGGAAAGGACAAAGAATTGTGAAAGTAGCAAGAGAGAAGCAGTTTGTCATTGGCAGATTCGATTTTTAGAAACCCACAAGACTGATCTGTATGCTGTCTGTAAAAGACTTCTTATCAAAGAACCCCAAAAAGGTTGAAAGTGGAAGTATGGAAAAAGATATATCATGCAAATAGTAACTGAAGGAGAGCTGAGGCAGCTGTATTATTGTCAAACAAAAAAAGACTTCGTACGAAATCTAAATAAAGACATCATAAAAAAAGAATATTACAGACCAACATGTCTATGAATACATATGCAAAAAATCCTCAACGAAATATTAGCACATTGAACCCAACAGCACATGAAAAGGATTATTCACCATGGTCGGGTGGGACTTATTCCTAGAAGGCATAAGTGTGATGCACCACACTAAAGAATGAAGAATCCAGGCATGAAGGTGCACACCTGTAATCCCAGAGACTTGGGAGGTTGGTGCAGGAGGGTTGCAAGTTCAAGGCCAGACTCAGCAACTTAGCAAGGCCCTGAGCAACTTAGAGAGTCTCAAGATTAAAAAAAAAAAATTAAAAGGACTGGGAATGTAGATTAGTGGTAAAGTGTCCTGGGTTCAATTCCCTGTACCTAAATAAATAAATAGAAGGAAAAAAATTACATGATCATCTCAATTGATGCAGAAAGATCATCTGACAAAATCCAACACTTTTCATGATTTAAAAAACTCAATAAAGAAGGGGGAAAAAATTCCTGAATATGAGAAAGGCCATAAGTCAAAAACACACAGCTAATGATGTACTAAATAGTGAAAGACTGAAAGTTTTTCTCACCAAGATCAGGAACAACACAAGAATGCACATTTTTTGCCACTTCTATTCCACATAGCACTGGAAATACTAGCCAATGCATTTAGGCAAGAAAAAAAAAAGTATCCCAATGGGAAAGGAGGAAGTTAAATTATCTCTGTTCCCAGATGGCATGATCTTAAGTGTAAAAAAATCCCTAAAATCTTCACATATGTATATACGCATGTGCTCGCGTGCACAAACACACACAACCTATTAGAGCTAATAAAAGGTTCAGCAAAGTTATAGGATACAAAATCAACAGACTAAAATCAGTTGAATTTTTGCAGACCTACTATGAACAATCCCAAAAGAAAATTAGGAAAATAATTTTCCATTTAACAATGGCATAAAAAGGAACAAATACTTAGAAATAAATTCAACAAATGAGGTGAAGTGTGTACCGAAAATACACAATATACAAGAGATCTGAAAAACTACAAAATATTTCTGGAAGAAACTAAAAATACCTCCATAAAAGAGAGCCATGTTCTTGGGCTGGAGGATTCAATGATGTTAAAAGTTAATACTAAACAAAGCCGTCTACAAACTCAATACAATTTCCAACCAAATCTCAATGACTTTTTTTTTTTTTACAGAAATAGAAAAACGGATCCTAAAAACTCAAATAGAATTACAAGAGACTTTGAAAAGTCGAAAGGATCTTAAGAACAAAGATGGAAGACATACTTCCTGATTTCTTCCTGAAACTTACTACAAAACTAAATCCACCAAATCCACGTGCAAAAGAATGAAATTGTACTGTTACCTAATTCCATAGTACAAGAATCAACTCAGAATTTATCAAATGCTAAGAGCCCAAATTATAAAGTCTTAGAGAACAACAAAGAGGGGAATCGTCATTCATTGAATTTTGGCAAGGGCACACTGGTAAGAAAATTTAAAAAAATAAATAAATTGGACTTGACCAAAATTAAAGACTTTTGTGCCTCAAAGGTTTACCATCGAGTGGATAAAAAGACAAGTCCCAGAATAGGAGTAAATATTTCCAAAGTGTGTATCTGACAAGGGTTGACATTCAGACTATGTAAGAAACTCCTAAAATCCAAACAACTCAAGTCAAAAGTGGGCCAAAGACTTGAATCCATGGTTCTCCAAATAAGATACCCAAATGGCTGCTGATCATGGTGAAATGAAGCCCAGCATCATTAGTCACTGGAGAAATGCAAATCATAACCACAATACGATATCGCTCGCTATCGAGATGACTATTGGGAAAAGAAACTGAAAATAACAAATGTCGGAGGTGTGGAGAGATCTGAACCCTCTGTGCCTCACCCCTGAGAATGTGTGACCACGCAGTCACTGCCCAAGATGGCCGCGCTCAGCACCCTCTCACGTCTATTCATCAAAAAGTCAAACACAGATCTACCATAGGATCCAGCAAGTCTACCACCAGGTGAATATTCAAGAGGTCTGAAATCAGGGATAGAAACATAAACATGTTATTAGTTTGGATTTGGAAAGCCTGTGGGGGCACAGGCTCAGTGTTGAAGGCTTGGTCCCCAATCAGCCATTTTCAGAGGTAGGGCTTTTGGGGAAGTGATTGGGTCATAAGGGCTCTGACCTCCTCAGTGGATTAATCCACTGACAGCTGAATGGACCGCTGGAGGGTGGTGGAAATGTAGGAGGGTAGGGTGTGGCTGGAGGAATTAGGTTACTGAGAAAAAAAAAAAAGCAAAATAGGAAGGAAGAAAAATGTAGAGTTCATAACAGAAGATTATTTTCAATAGAACGTAATGTTCACCTCCTGGTAGCCAGGGAGGTGAGAGAGAGGAGAAGGAGGAGGAAGAAAGGAGAGGGAGAGGCACCAATCAAACGTAGGGTAGAAGAGACACCAATAAACACTATGAGCCATGCAAGACCTGGTAATACTGGGACGCATGCTCTGTTAATAGAGGGAGTCAGGAAACAATGGGGCAGGGGAGAAAACTGGGGTCCCTGTCAGCAGACAGGTGAAGATGGAAATTCTCAACAAGGTGAGAAAGGAATTTCCCAGATTGACAGCTACTGATGAGTCTGAAGCGTCCCCTATCCCAGCTAAGGGAAGAGGAAAGAGGAACATTATCAACAAAACACAGAAATGATAGATGAGTGAGTATGTTTAACCAGTTGACAAGCCAGATCTGTTACAGACCTGAGATAAATTACTTGTATACACACAGAAAACCTAGGCATCATCAACTCCAGGGAAACCAAAGAGGCCAACAATAAAATACAGATAATCACAGCACATGTGTGGCTCAGCTGTGGAGAACAGTAATATTTTCACAAACATGAGAACCAGTGGCAATGACCCAGTGACCTGATTGGTACAATGAGGATGTGATAGCTTACATCATGGGGTCATTGTGAGCATTATGTGAAGGAAAATGGTTTTTGATTTCTGTTAGTTGTATCTGATTCCTCACCAGCCCCTTCTGAAATAATGAGGATAGCTGTAGGACCCCCACCCTACCCCACACCCCCCGGCAGCCCACCCCCCAGACACTACCTGTCGGTGATTCTCAGGGTCGAGAGCCACTGCCCCTTGCTGGCTCTAAAGTCATAACTTAAACAGGTTCTGGGAGAACTAAGCAAGTCATTTCTCAGTTTTCTGTTAATAAAAAGGGGATGAGCCTTTCTATGTACTGGGATGCTTGGTTTGAAAACCGATTTGCTGTGGACGTGGTGGTGTGCGCCTGCGATCCCACTGACGCAGGAGGATGAGGCAGGGGGATTGAAATTTGAGGGCAGCCTGGGCGACATATCAAGACCCTGTCTCAATATAAAAAAAAAATAAAAAGCACTAGGGAGGTAGTTTAGTACCCCTGAGTTCAGCCCCCAGGACCCCAAAAATAAATTTAAAAATTCATTCATTCATTAAGTTTAAAAAGAAAGAAAATTGATTCACCACAGTTCTTCGACGGAATGCATGTCCCAGTGGAAAACCTCAGTTTTTCGGACCTGTAAAACGGGATTACAGGCTTTCCTTAAGGGTATGTGCACGATCATAGGTCACTGGCTTAAGAAGTGGCTGTTAATATTGGTAGCTACTCTTCTGGCACCAATGGTATAGAATGCAATAGGTTGACCATGGTCATCTGTGGTAACAGAATAATTGCAATATCAATGACAGTAATGTTCTAACTCCTACTGTCTCCTTCAGCTCTGAATCCAGTGCCTTTCATAATACTAGGCGCACACAAGAGGTGGTCAATAAATGCTCATAGATGACGGAACCCTTTGTACACAGTTTTCTCGGTAAAAAATTGTGGAGTCACAACAAACACTGGGCAGGGGTAATATCTGAGCTGTTTTCAACAATCCCCTTTCCTGCCTGTATTTCCTCCATCCCAGTAGGACTCAGGGGCCAGGTGTTCTAGTGGAAAAAGGAGAAGCAGAGACCCTAGCTTTTGGCTTCCACACTTCGGAGAGAAGATTCTTGGCACAAAGGGTCAGAAACAAGCACAGGAAGTTTCCCTAGGATTTAAAAAAATAAAAAATGAAAAAACAAAGCAAAGCAAACCACAACAAGACCCAGTTGAAGATTAAAAGAACAAAAATATAAGAAGTTACATTTAATATACGTCATATTGATTTCTTTACAACCTTGGAGGGTAAATCCAAAATCCATAAGAGATGGATAAAAATAGAACACACACAAAAGAAGCAAATGGTAAACAATGACAAAAGAACTTATCTACGGCGAAGAGCACCTTACCAAAAAGTTACAGACATAGGAGAAATGGGAGCAAGACATTTGCAACTCACATTTGAAAGGCAAACAGAAAAAGAAAGACCAGTCAATAGAAAAATGGGCAAAGGTCATGAATGGACAGTTCACAGACAGGTCAACACAACCCAAAGATACATGATTTCATTCAACCACACTGATCCATCTTCCCTCTAATCGAGTTTTTAAAATATATATATAAAAAAAGAAATAGCACTTCTATTGGCAAACCCTTGAATGAACACATTCTCATTCATTATGGAAGGAAAGTAAATAAGTATGATCATCATGGAGCACAATTGGGTTAGATTTATCAAAATTATCGATAACTCGGTGATTAAACTCCAGTTTTATCTTACAGAGAAAAAAAATGATGAATCCACTGCAGCCATGTTTGTAATTACTGAGGATTGAAAGTAACCTAAATGTCCATGCGTTGGGAACTGACAGAGTAAGTTACATTACATATACACTGGGCTATTATGCAGTTATATTTTAAAAAGTAACGAAGAAGGGGCTGGGGTTGTGGCTCAGCGGTAGAGCACTTGCCTAGCAAGTGTGAGGCCCTGAGTTCGATCCTCAACACCACATAAAAATAAATAAAATAAAGGTATTAAAAAAAAGTAAAATGAAGAAGATCTTTATTTATATTGCTATGGAAAGAACTCCAAAGTATATTCAGTAGCGGGGAAAAAAAAAAAAAGAAAACCAAAACAACAAGATAGGTTCCTTTTATTTTCCCTCAAAAGGTAGAAAGTTCTAAATTTATATTTGTGTTGGTATTTGCATTAAATCATAATAAGAAAATAAAGACAATATCACATTTTAAATAAAACATCTTAAAGAATTTTTAAAAGATGTGCAAGATTTGTACACTGAAAACTATAACACATTTTTTTTGGGGGGAAGAAATTAAAGAAAGTTTAAATAAGTGGAAAGACATCCCATGTTCATGGATTGGAAGACTTCATATTGTGAAGACAGTCACCAAACTGTTCTACAGATTCAATGCCATTCCCTTCAAAATCCCAGCTGAAATTTTTCTGCAGAGTTTGACAAGCTGATCCTAAAATTCATGTGGAAATGCAAGAGACCAAAAGATCCAAAGCAATCCTGAAAGAGTCCAAAGTTGGAGGACTTACACTTTCCTACTTAAACTTACTACAAAGCAACAGTAATTAAGACCCATAGTGTACTGGCCTAAACATTGTTGCTCAATAGAATACAATCAGGAGTTCGAAATTAAAGCCTAACATTTGTGGCCAATTAATTTTCAACAAGGGCACCAAGGCAATCCAATGGCATAGGGAAGAGTCTTTTCAACAAAGAGTGCTGAGACCCCTGGAATTTACATATAGAAGGATGAAATGAAACCCCTGCCTCACACCGTTATTTCAAACTGGATCCTAGACCTAAACGGAAGAGTTAAGTCTACAAAGAAAAACTCTTAGAAGGCACAGGGAATCAATATTCATGCCTTGGGTTAGACAGTGACACCAAATGTATACATTTAATAAAAGAGATAACTGGCTGATCAATTGGGCTTCGTGAAAACGCAAGAGTTTTGTGTTCCAAAGAGACCATCGATAATAAAAAAAAATAAAAATAAAAATAAAAGAAACCATCTAGAAAGTAAAAGGATCATGGTGCACACCTGTAATCCCAGTGACTTGGAAGGCCGGAACAAGACGATGCACGTGGGTGGCCAGCCTCAGCAACTCAGCAAGATCTTGTTTCTAAATAAATAAATAAGACTGGAGATGTAGCACCGTGGTAAAGTACCCCCCAAGTACAGTCCCCCATCCCTGCAGTGCCCCACAGAAAAAGGAGAAGAATAGAATAAAATACTGGAAAGAAACCATTGCAAATCATGGATCTGATAAGAAACTTAAACTCAGAATGTATAATGAACACTTGTCACGGAATAATTAACAAGACAACCGAACTTTAAATTGGGCAAAATAGGGCTGGGGATGTGGCTCAAGCGGTAGCGCGCTCGCCTGGCATGCGTGCGGCCCGGGTTCCATCCTCAGCACCACATACAAACAAAGATGTTGTGTCCGCCGAAATCTAAAAAACAACAGTTACTAATATGGCATTATGTAAAAATGTGGATGTGTAACCGATGTGATTCTGCAATATGTATTTGGGGTAAAAATGGGAGTTCATAACCCACTTGAATCTAATGTATGAAATATGATATGTCAAGAGCTTTGTTATGTTTTGAACAACTAATAAAAAATAAATAAATATTTAAAAAAATTCTCTCTCTCTTTAAAAAACAATTTTTTTTAAATTGGGCAAAATAGTTGAAAAGACATTTTTTTTGCCAATAAATATATGAGTGGCCAACAAACATGAAAAGATACTCCGCATCATGATCGTGAGGGAGAAATGCCAATCTGAACTTTACACTCACTCTCATGGCTATAATGAGAAAGATGGGCAATTTGGTGAGGATGTGGAGAGATCAGAATCTTTGTGCATTGAATGGGATTATAAAACGGCCCAACCACCTTTTAAGTGGTTTGGCAATTCCTCAAAATGTTGACCACAGAATTATCATAGGAGCCCCAATAATTCCACCTCTAGGTATCTAAGAGAAATAAAAACATGTTAACCCCAAACATGTACCTCCAGGTTCACAGAAGCATTATTCATCCTAGTCAGAGAGTAGAACAACCTGTCAATCAACCGAAGAACAGATAAACAAAAACCTGCTATGTCCACAAAATAGAATATTATTGGGCCAAGAATGAAGTACTGATATGTGTTGTGGATGATCTCTTAAAACATGCAGAAATAGCAGGTCATGATGCACCACATACTGTGATTCCATTGATATAAATGTCCCAAATAGGAAAATCTATGGAGATAGAAAGATTAGTGGTAGCCTAGCTTTTGGGTGGGGATTGAACTCTCAAGGCTTCTTTTGGGGATGATGGAAATATTCTTTTTTCTTTTTTTAAGAGAGAGAGAGAGAGAGAGAGAGAGAGAGAGAGAGAGAGAGAGAAATAGAGAATTTTTTTTTTAATATTTATTTTTTAGTTCTCGGCAGACACAACATCTTTGTTTGTATGTGGTGCTGAGGATCGAACCCGGGCTGCACGCATGCCAGGCGAGCGCGCTACTGCTTGAGCCACATCCCCAGCCCGGGATGATGGAAATATTCTAAAATTAGATTACGGTGATGGTTGCACAACTCTGTAAATATGCTATAAAACATGGAATCTTAAGCTTTAAATAGGTGAGCTTCATAGCCTGTAAAGTGCGTGTCGATGAAGCTGTTTATCCCAGAGAAGGCAGGCACTGGGCAGATGAAGGAGGGAGGAAAGACTTTCTATTTTTTTCCCCTCTCCTTTCCAGGTTTCAAATCCCATGACTAATACCATCTATTCAAAAGCAAATTTAAAACCAAAGAATCCAGCAAAAAAAAAAAAATTTTTTAAAGGCCTCTGATTCTCCGCTCCCCACCGCCCCCCGCCCCCTTTGGGGTGGGGAAGATGAGAGGGAGGGACCTGCCACCCACCCCGGTCACGCTGTGAAGCAATGGCTGAGTGCACAACAGATTCGTGGGACAAGGGCAGCCTTAGAGAGGTTCCAAGACCCATCCGTGCCCTGGAAGCCACTAAAGCCACTGGACTGGACTATCTAGTGCCGCTTGACCTTGGCAGACACCCAAGGGAGCAGAGGAGACTATCCCTAAGTCCCCCTCCTCCATGGCCACCTGGACCTATGTAAAATCCCAGAGCCACCATTCATCCCCAAAGATAGGCAAAACGTCCCAGAGACTGACAGCCACCAGGCAGAACCGGAGCTTGAGAAAGATGCTGTGCCGATGAGCAGAAAAGAAGGGAGAATTCCTCTCGCATGCTGGGCCCATGGGCTGGGCCCACGCCTTGGCTGCATCAGGGCCAGATAGAGCCCAGAGGTCCTCCCCTGCACCCTGAAACCAGAGGGACGATTCTTAGAGCCCTCAGCCTGAGCTTCTTGGCACACTCGGCTAGTTAACAGGTGCTGTACCAAGAAAGACCTCTGTGGTCAAATACGTTTGAAAAATGCTGCGTTAAAGAAAGTCAAAGCCAGACCATGATTTACATTACTCAGAAGAGATCCAAACCGTGTCCGATTCATTAAGTCCAGGGGCTCCCTACACAGCCACTCGGAACAAGCCCCATGGCAAATAAGCAGGAAAAAAATATTTCTGTCCCAAATCTAAAACTAATTGGATTTTTTTTTTTTTTTTTTTTTTTTTTTAGTAGTCACTGTTGCAGATTTGGTAAAGGCCATCTTGAATTTCCTCAATCTATCTGTACTTGCCTTTTTAAAATCGGCATCTGGGCTGGGGTTGGGGCTCAGAGGTAGAGCGCTCATCTAGCATGCTTGAGGCACTGGGTTCGATCCTCAGCACCATATAAAAATAAAAATATTGTGTCCACCTACAACTAAAAGATAAATATTTTCTTTAAAAAAATTGGCATCTGAAGATTGTCATGCATAAAGTTTGACTAATATTCTGTTCTGATTGCCTTGAAAGAGGAAGAAAAGACTTGAATTTCTCAATATCAGTTTGAGTAAGATTGTTTATGAGAACAAGCCTTCTCAACATGACTATTAAAGTAAGAACGCTAACAGTTTAAGAACAGAACGGGACCCAAAACAACAGCTTTCTGTTAGTAAACCAATACTTGTGATGCGTTTCTTGTATGCAAAGCGTTTTTTTTTCTGTTTGAGAAAAACAGCAGCACTTGTTAGAGTAAATAAACTAAAGGTGGTTCATTCACGTCTTACTGGTTTTATATTTTTGTCCTGATTTGTAGACATTCTAGCTTTTATTGTTGCATGAGAGCTATAGGCAAAAAAGAATATATACCTACTTTTATGTATATATAAACTTACTGGTTTTATATTTTCGTTCTAATTTGTAAACTTTTTAGCTTTTATTGTTGCATGAGAACTATAGGCCACAAGAATATATACCTACTTTTATGTTGGAACAAATATGAGAAGCTATTAAAAATTAAAACATATTGAGTTTAAAAAAGCTAAAGCCTGGGGTTGTGGCTCAGCAGTAGAGCACTCGCCTAGCACATGAGAGGCCCTGGGTTCGATCCTCAGCACCACATAAAAACAAATAAATAAAGTTATTGGATCCAACCACAACTAAAAAATAAATATTTTAAATAAATAAGTAAATAAATAAATAAATAAGCTAAAGCCCTATTTTAACCTCAGAATTTCTCAGAGCCTTTGCTTATGACTCTTCAAGAAAGGGTCCAGCCGTTTCAAAGCTTTAGTGCTTTAGTCTCTGAACAACGGGAGCTAGAAGGTTTCCCTCTCCAGTGAGTCCCTAGAAGCCTCTGTGGGTGCCAAGTCACAATTCTAGCTAGTTCTTGACATCTGGTCCCAGAGTCCTGGGGGGAGGTTTCATCCTGGGTCAAGGTGGCCTGGTCACTGCCTTGTCAAACGCTCTAAGAAATTATGTGTATTTGAGCCCTTGGCTGGCTATACAGGTCAGTACGGGTCTGTAGTCCCCGGTTGCAAATGAAAATCAGAGATATGACAGGCTTCAAAGCTGGCGTGCTGGGGAAAGGAACAGGAGAGACATGTGGATTTAAGGTGCAGCCCTGGATGCTGGACAGTCCCTACTCACATCCAGCCTTGGGTTCATCTGCTCTAAGCAACAGATGTTTCCAGGTAAATTTTATCTTTGACCAAGCCTCCCAAACCCGTCCTGATGAAATGTTACAAGAAAACACAGTCCCCTTTCTTCAACAAATAATTCGAAGCAAAAAAAAAAAAATTAATGAGAGAGTGGGAATTGGTGTGGATTAAAACTATAAGTAGGGGCTGGGGTGGTGGCTCACCGGTAGAGCGCTCTCCTAGCATGTGCGAGGCCCTGGGTTCGATCCTCAGCACCCCATAAAAATCAGCAAATAAAAGAAAGGTATTGGGTCCAACTCCAACTAAAAAAATATAAATATTTTTTTTAAAAAAGCATAACTAAATGTCTGACGTGGGCCGTGTTTAATTCTGATTTGAACAACAACAACAACAACGAAAAGAAAAGACGTGGATATATCCATCAGGTACATTGGGGCACTGACTGATAATATCAAAGGTGACCGCAGTTCGGGCAGGGGTCAGGGGTTTTGAGTTTAATCCAGAGGCATCTAAGATCCCACCATGTCTGGGGTTCATTTTAAAATGACCCACTGAGGGTGGAAGAGAAAACATGGTGGGGGGACACCTGGTCACAAAGGGGACAACTCCTGCCATGGGGGCCAACCCCCCCCCCAGCTCCAGTCTTAGCTCTCCTCTCCTGGAAGGCAAGACACCCCCCCCCCCACATACCCCTAAGTGCCCCAGACTCGGGGTTCTCCACATGCAAGGCTTGGGGAAGCCTTGGGGCTGCAGACATCTTGGGGCCCCCCAAGGTCCTGGCTCCGTGTGGGCCCAGGAGCCTGTGCAGAACATGGGGCGAGGGCCTCCCCCGCACTGTCCACCTGCCGGCCTGCCCACTGGCTTGGCTACTCACAGCGCTCCTCTGCCCGCCCGCCGGCTCCGGCCACCTCGCCTCCTCTGGCCCAGGCCACTCATTACTCAGGATGTTTATTATTAGCCCCAGATTTGATTAGTGCCTGGGCTGCGCTTCCTGGGTCTTCCCCTCAACCTGGAGGATGTAAATCAGCCGCCCCGGTCACCTGCGCCTGCGCGCTCACCAGGCAAGGTGAAGGGCTCTGAGTCCTGATGGCTCTGCTCTGTCCACCAAGGTGCGCAGAGCGGCTGGGCGACATCATCCACCCTTGCATGGCTTAGGCGCGTCCAGGTTTTCCCTGGCCCATCTCAAGGGCGAAGCTCCTGCCCCAGGCTTATACTCATACACCCCAGGCCCCGTCTCAGCTGCACAGAAGGGCTCACCCTTCCCTCCCCCTGGACAGTCTTGGCCTATTCTATTGCAAGTTCAGCTCCTCCAAGACTCAGTTGAGGTGTCCTCTCCTCTGGGAAGCCACCCTAACTACCCCAACCCAAGTTAGAGTTTCATTTTCTGCACCTTCTGAGCTTTGTCACTGTGGGGACCGGTGCATGGAGTACTGCATGCATGGCATATGCTAAGGGTGTCGTCTGAGTGGCAGGCCACTCCCCTCTTGCTAGGCGTGTAGTAGCAATCCGCTTACCCCATAGGCACAGCCCTGGGCATGAGGCGGTGGGTTGCAGTCCCTGTGCTTGCTCCACAGCCCACTCCTCAATTGGTGGCTGCAAGGGCAATTAGCAGAAATTGCATTAGTGGCTGCCTGTAACCTGCTTAGCTGCTGCCTGAGTATATATACATGGTAACTGCAATAAAATCAGACCTGCTTCCTGCTTGGTGTCCGGAGATCTTGATTAGCGACTCTGCAGCCACACTCTTTCTCTGCCCTGTTCTGTGGACCTCCTCGCTGGACGAGAGAGAGAGAGAGCCCACGAATGTCACTATGCCTATCAAAGCACGAGAGCCAGCCAGACTGCTTTTGAATCTCTACTCTGCCAAATACCGACTGGAGTCCTTGGTGGCAACTTATGTACATAATGTCTCTGTGTCTCTGTGTTCTGTTCTGTAAAGTGGGTATAATAATAGCACTATGTGTGGCACAAGCCATGTGAGGCTGAGTTCACCTAGTTACATTCTCAGAGCAACTGAGTTCTCTGCAGATGGGATTGAGGATTGATACTGTGGCCCTTATTACCATGTATTGTAACTATTTCTATGTCATTGCAAGTCTTTTTTTTAATATTTATTTTTTAGTTCTCGGCGGAGACAACATCTTTGTTTGTATGTGGTGCTGAGGATCGAACCCAGGCCGCATGCATGCCAGGCGAGTGCGCTACCCCTTGAGCCACATCCCCAGCCCCCTCATTGCAAGTCTTCTGAAATCTCATGAGAGATAGGAAGTACAGCAACCCCTCTCTCATGTTTACTGCAGCACTTTACACAGTATCCCAGATATGAAATCCACCTAAACGTCCATCCACAGATGATAAAGAAAATGTGGTGCATATATATATACACCATGGAATATTATTCAGCCTTTAAAAAGAAGCAAATCCTATCACTTGCATCAAGATGGATGGAACCGGAAGATATTATCTTAACTAAAATAAGCCAGGCCCAGAGAAACAAAAACCACACATTCTTGTTCATAGGTGGAATCTAAAAATGTTGATGTCAAAGAAGATGAGAACAGAATAGGGGTTACTAGGAACTGGGAGGGCAAGAGAGAGAGGATGGGGCTGGGGTTGTGGCTCAGAGGTAGAGCACTCGCCTAGCATGCACGAGGCACTGGGTTTGATCCTCAGCACCACGTAAATGTAAAATAAAGATATTGTGTCCACCTAAAACTTAAGAATAAATATTTAAAAAAAAAAGAGAGAGGATGGAGAGAGATCTGTTAACAGGTAACACATTAGATAAGAGGAGGAGTTCTGGTGTCCCATTGCATGTAGGGCAGCTGTAGTTAACAACAGAGGATGATGATGCTCAAATAGATGGGGATTTAGCTCAGGGGTAGAGCTCTTGCCTGGCTCAAGTGAGGCTCTGGATTCCATCTGCAGTACTGCCAAAAAAGAAAAAAAAAAAAGTTGGGAGCCGTGGGGCAAACCTGGAATCCCAGCATCTTGGGAGGCTGAGGCAGGAGGGTCACTAGTTCAGGGCCAGCCTCTTAGCAAGGACCTAACAACTTAGCAAGACTCTGTCTCGAAATAAAAAACAAAAAGTGCTGGGGATGTGACTCCGTGGTAAAAGTGCCCTGAGTTCCATCCCCACTACCAGAGAGAGAGAGAGAGAGAGAGAGAGAGAATGTGGGTGGGCGGCACCATTTGGGAAGGCCACGGTCAATTAAAATGTAGAATATGTGCCTACCCCCAGGACCCTGAAATTTTGGCCATGGTTAAAGTGTTGCTGATGATAGTGGGAGACTGGGGACAATTTAAATGGGCACCAATAGAGACTGCTGAGTACCCCTGTTGCCAGGAACTTTCTGCCTGCCAAAACGGGGCAAGCCCGGGTCACTGCCGAATGCCTGCATCACCCCTCCCTCCTTGCCTTTTGTTCGCAAACCCCTGGGGTCTGGGGCTCACAAGGCAGCTGACTCCCTGGGGGTTTTGCTTTGACGGTTACCAAGCTCCTCTCTGACTGTTGAGGGAACTGTGCCTTCCAGAAACGGAACTCTTACTGGGCTAGACTGGGGTGCAGCTGTCTAAAGCCACACACACACACACACACACACACACACACACACGGTCTTGGCTTTGCAGAGCTTTTGGAGCATCCAGTCTGCATGTGCTTTGCATGAAGCGAAGACCAAACAAGATGCAGCCTGATTCGGGAGGTGGCTGGGGATGGAAGGATGGCGTTGTCTCATTGCTGATCCGCCTTTTTGCTCACGTGCAACTTCCCCAGAACCGGGCAGGAGGTTTCTGAACCTCATTCTTCACTTTCCAAACCTCATTCTGAAACCAGCCCTTTCTGAGCTGTCCGCCCCCGCCCAGGGGAAGAGAGGTCTTCTAATTTTAAGTTCAATGATCAAGGGAAATGGGTGAGTTTTGGAACCCAGAGGGAAGGTTTTGATATGCTGTCTCATCAAAAGGTTAAAATGCACACACACACGCACACGCGGTCAAGGAAAAAATTTTTTAACAATATTAAAGGGAAAATAGTGAGAAGTAAAGGTCTCTCCCACCTAGATACCATAGACCTGCTATTCGCAGCAATCTGCCAAAGCACAGGCGCTTACACACACCTGTGTGTCACTCTTGATGTGTGTCCCCTGGTTTCCCCCATGCTGTCCCCAACATGCACCTTTTAAAAATATATACACGATGGCTCATTTCCGAGGACGGGACACGCTGCTTTGCCCGGGACTTGTCCATTTACCCTCCTGCCCGTCAGACCTGGTGTTATTTCTAGTGAGCCCTCAGGATGCTCTTTAGGAGGACCGGCAGGGAGACTGTAGGGAGTGCTGACTGTGTTCGGGGCCCGGGCCTAAATGCTTTTATACCTATTTAACACATGTTGTATCTTCCTGTCTCATTGCAGGGCTGGAGTTGCTTAAGTGGGATTGCCGAATCCATGGGGTACGTTTGTCTTGCCAATCGGGGTCACCTCACAGGGTGACATGGTCCCCACGTCACACTTGGACATCTGTGGTATTTTCACCTTGAAGGCCCATGACAGGCTAGACCTTGTGGACTCTGTGTGCTCCCTCGCGTCTGCCAGGCCCCCTGCAGATCCCCCTTCCATTGAGACCATGCTGGGGCCACCTCTGAGACAGTCCCGAGGTAAGACAAAAGCAAAAGTGTCCCCAAATGGGGCATTTCTTAGAAATGCAGAGAAAGCTCTCATTTTCATTATTGCAATTTACATACAACTCAGATGCTCCAAATTTCCTAGGTGGCTAATTGAGCTGCTCTTCCCATTTGTTACTGATTTCTCAGAAATGCGAGATACCATCGTTCTAGCCAAACCCCAATTTGAAGAAGCAAGCAGTGGTTTCTCTGTACCAAGTCATCCAACTTCTGTGGGAAGACCTAGTTGCTTTTCTTATTTTAAAATGTCTCCTTCATGCTGGGTGCGGTGGTGTGCGCCTGTAATCCCAGCGGCTTGGGAGGCTGAGGCAGGAGGATCGTGAGTTCAAAGCCAGCCTCAGCAAATAAGCAAGGCACCGAACAACTCAGTGAGATCCTGTCTCTAAATAAAATACAAAATGGGGCTGGGGATGTGGCTCAGTGGTTGAGTGCCCCTGAGTTCAATCCCCAGTACAAAAAAAAATTCCTTTATTACTTTTGATTATATGAAAAATTCAAAACTTAGAGTAAGGTGAAAAAGGAAATAAAGTGAATACCCACAGATCCTCCACCTGGGCTTGATGAGTCTACTCATTGGGTCTATGATCCACATCTGCCTCTACAGAGACCTTCTACTGGGCACAGCAGTGCATACATCTGTAATCCCAGCAACATGGGAGGCTGAGGCAGGAGGATGGAAAGTTTGGAGGCCAGCCTCAGCAATTTAAATAAACATTAAAAAGGACTGAGGAGCAACTGTGTTTCATGTTCAGTTTTCATGTTGCTCAGTGGTAGAGTGCCCTCCGTTCAATCCCCACACACACACACACACACAAAAAAAAGAAAATGAACATTTCCTTACATAGACTATCATTACCATACCCAAGACCGTCCACCATAATTCAATAACATCACCTGATATCTAGCCCAATATATAAATGTCTCCAATTGTCCTGAGTTTTCCTGGCTGCTTAGTTTTGAATCAGGATCCAATTGAGGGTTATGCATTACGTTTTCTATCGTCTTTTTTTTAATCATTAGCTATTTATTTTTAGGTGGTGCTGAGGATTGAACCCAGGGCCTCACAGGCGTGAGGCAAGTGCTTTGACCACTGAGCCCCAGCCCTCTCTTGTCTTCGAGGCACCTGGAGTGGTTTTCTATTCTCTTCTTTTTTCCTTTAGACCCAAAAGCAAGCCTCCAACTGACCATGGATTGAGACCTCTGAAACTGTGGGCCAAAACAAACCTTTCATTCTTTTAAAGTTGCTTATCTTGGGTGCAGCGGTGTAATCCCGTAATCCCCAGAGGCTCGGAAGGCTGAGGGGTTGGAAAGGTGGTGACGTGATTTGACCCTGACCTGACTGAGAAGCTCGGCTGTGGTCTTATGAAAAAGGTCCACGTCTGGTCTTTCTCTCTTCTCCTGGTGGTGCTGAGTTTGTTCCTCTGTCTTCTGAGCAATACCAGGGTGCACAGGGTCACCTTTCCCCATCACAGGGGTGCTTCATTAGATCATTGGTTAAGGTGGCGGTACCAGGAGCACTTTGTAATCAGGGACACCAATTCTTGGGCACCTGGTCCACAGATGAAAAGACAGCCTTTCTGTTGACAACTTTAGCATCGTTCATGGTCCTTGACTGAAACAGACATCACACTTACGAGCTGGTGACTTTTTAAACCTGTCATTCCTTCTACGTTCTTGTTTTAGGGACAAACGAGGCAAGGCACCGAGGACAGCAGGAAACAGTTTTTATTTGGCTGCAGCCAGGTTCAGAGGGCACAGCCTTTGCTGTAATCAATCAATCCCCTGAACCCCGAGTTCAGGGAGTTTCAGAGTTTTATACCCAGCATGTCAGGGGAGGGGCTCAGAAGTTCACAGTCTGCAGAAGTTCACATAAAAGCAGCTTTTTCTTTCACTGTTCTGGGCAAGTTAACCCTTCAAGGACAACACCCGAGAAGGGGAGAGCTTCTTCTCCCCTTTCTTTCCTCCCCCTGCCAGCTGTTACCATGGAGCCCATTTGTAACTTATCTTAAAAATGTAGACATCTCTGTGAAGCCCAGCTCAAGGCCAGAGGCCTTGTTTGCACATTTCTACAAAGTACTATACTGGATACGTTTGTGAAAAACTAGTAAGGGGGTGCTCAGCACCTGGAGTGCTGGTATCTTCCTGGCCAGTGGCCAAGTAAAACAGGGTGACACGAAAATAGGAAGTTTATCTACATTGAACTCTTTTGCAGAGACTCTTTTGCTGACAGTCCTAAAATCAGCCATGGTGAAGAGGGCTTTTCAGTGGAGAAAGGGGGTGCCACTACATTCTTAGTGGGTGCTCTCTGTAAAGGAGAGTATACTTTTATGCTATGCTTTTTTTAAAAAAAAAAATTTTTTTTAGTTGTAGATGAACACAATATCTTTATTTTATTTAGTTTTATATGGTGCTAAGGATCAAACCCAGGGTTTGTGCTAGGCAAGTGCTCTATCCCTGAGCTACCATGCCAGCCCTTATGCTATATTTTTTTAGATAAGTGTCCCCAAAGGCCCCTGTGTCAAAGGCTTGGCCCTCAGCCCATGGTGCCATGGGGAGATGGTGGAACCTTTATGATGTGGGGGTGTCCTTGAAGGGGATGGTTGGATTCTGGCCCCTTCCTCTCTCTTTCTGCTTCTGGGTGCCAGGATGTGAGCACTCTATTTGCCACTGAGCCCCAGAGCAAAGGGACCAGGTAGCCATGTCCTGGAACCTCTGCCACCCTGAGTCATGTTTACAAAACCTTTCCTCTTTTTAAGTTGATGAGCTCAAGCAGGTTATTATAGTAATCGGCAGCTAACACATTTTTGTCTCTCCCTTTTGAAAACAAATATGCAGAAAACGACTATGAGTAATATCCCAAACACCCAGACTTTCACCCCCCGAAATATGTGTTAAAATGTTGGCATATTCACCTTGGAAAATTTTTTAAGAAAGATGACCATAAATGCTCTGAAATCACCCACCCCTGCCCTTTCCCACCTCGTCCCCTCTGCTGAAGTAACTGGTGTCATAAATGTGGCACCTACTTCTAAGCCCATTTTAATATTTTTTATAAAAATGTCTTTTTCTATGAATAATACTAGAGATAGCATTATTTTGCTTGAGGTTTTTTTTCCCACTTTACTTATTTATTTTTGCATTACAATTCATTTTTTAAAATTTTTTATTTTTTTAGTTTTGAGTGGACACAATATCTTTTATTTTTATGTGGTGCTAAGAATCAAACCCAGTGCCTCATGCATGCCAGCCAAGCGCACTACCATTTGAGTCATAGCCCCAGACCCTGCATTACAATTCTTTTTTTTTTTTCCTTAGGTGTAGATGGACACAACACAATGCCTTTATTTTTTTATGTGGTGCTGAAGATCCAACCCAGGTTTCACCCGTGCTAGGAGAGAGCCCTACCACTGAGCCACAATCCAAGCCCTGCATTACAATTCTTAATACACCATTATACCATAATTTATCATATCTCTGATTATATATAAGGTATGTTGACACCAAATTCACATCTTCATACATGTATTTTGTGTAGTGATGAGGGTCTCCTTTCACCATCCATGCTATTCCCCTTCTCCCTCCCTTTCCCTCCCACCCCTATTCCCTATCTAGAGGTAATCCTCCTCTCTTGCTCTCCCTCCCTATCCCATTTTGAGTCACTCCCCTTATATCAGAGAAGACATTCGGCATTTGTTTTTCTGGGATTGGCTAACTTCACTTAGCATCATCTTCTCTAATGCCATCCATTTCCCTGCAAATGCCATGATCTTATTCTTTTTTAGTGCTGAGTAATATTCCATTGTGTATAAATGCCACATTTTTTTTTTGCCCTTTGCAATGTTGGAGGTCTAGCCCAGTGCCTTGCACATGCTAGGCAAGTGCTCTTCCACTGAGCTACATCCCCACCCCACCTTAGTATTTTGTATAGAAACAGATTCTGCATATATCACTAGGCCTCTTCCTCTTCCTACCCAACACTGTGGAGATCAATTCATATTAATTCATATGTAGCCAGCTTGTTCCTTTAACTGTGGGATGAGATTCCACCCTTACCTCTCTATGGAGGAACATTTGAGTTGGGGGGTCTGCATCTTTCCAGTCTCACTAGATAAGACCCAAATGACCACGCTAATGTACACTTCCACTAGCCAGGTATAACGGTCCTTGGTCCCCCATATCTTCGTCTGCATAGGGAGAGTATAAGATTATTAACTGTTTGCCCAACTAGTAGGTGAGAGCTGGTGTCTTTTGTTGCTTTAATTTGTATGTCCTGACCACACTGGGCACACTTGACAGACCTTATTTAATCCTCTCAGAATTTCGTTCGTGATCATTCCCATTGTGCTGAAGAGGAGACTGAGGGTCAGAGAGGTACAATGATTGTCTAAGGTCTTAGAGGCCCCCAAAGCCTTGGGTCTATACAGCATTGCTTCTCCATACTCTTCCCACATGGCCAGACGGCTCCTAGAGAGATGGACAGGTTCTAAAGCCCCTGCAAGGCTTTTAGCAGAGAAGTCATTTGTTAATCAAAAAAAAAAAAATGCAGCTTTGCAAATAATTTTTAGGCCACCAGGACTTCTGGGTCAGGAGACACAGAGGGCAGTCGAAAGTGTTCATTCTCACCGCCGCTCAGGACGGAGGGGTGGTGGGTTGGTAGTCGCCAAGCTTCTCCTGGCTTGGGGGTTGATTGTAGCCAGGGTGGGTGGTTTGGATGGGGACCGGAGCTACCAGATTGAACGTTCTGGAAACTTTTAGATCTTAAGGTAAGAGAAAAAGAACCTTTTTTTCTGCTTCTCTCTCTCTCTCTCTCTCTCTCTCTCTCTCTCTCTCTCTCTTTTATTGAAGTCCTCTGAAAAAAGAAGTGACTTACAGGTGGACCAACCTTCAGGACTCCCGTTTTGGGGAATTTGGGGGCTCTGGGCTGTTCGAGGTCACCCAAGTATCTGATTTGTCCTTAGAACCCAGCGAAGTATTCATTACACGACATCCACTTCACCGACGCTCGTGAAGTGAATAAATAAATTTAAAGAAGTTTGGAAATGAAAAGCAAAACCCACAAACCCCCACATTCTGGTTCCTTTGGGGGCTGCTGGTGGAGCTTAACAGATTCGAGAAAGGTCCTCGGTGAGAAGAAGGGGCCTGGCTTTGGGGAGGCTGTCAGGGAGTCACTCAGGGAGCTGTCAGCCTTCAGCCTTGTCAGCCTCCAGCCTCGTCAGCCTCCAGCCTCGCAGACCAGACTCCCTGATGGCCTCCCAGATGCCCCCCCCCCCCCCCCGGGGGGAGATACACAAAAGCTTAGAACAGCATGGGGCCGGCCCCACACAGCCTCCAGTCTCTCCAGGTCCCCTCTGTTGTAAGTCATCCTGAAAACAAGCCAGGGGACCTCCTGGGGACATTCCCACCCCCAGAGCCTTCGCCCTGACGTTCCCTTTCAGCCTCAGGCTTTTTGCATGACCGAGTCTCAGCTCCAACATCACCTCCAACTCCAGGTGTTGACCACCTCCTCTGTGCCACCACAAATGCGATTTTATTGTTCATTTATTTATTGTGGTGCTGGGTCTTGAACCCAGGGCCTTGTGCATGATGGGCAAGTGTTTCTACCACTGAGCTCCCAGCCCCACAAATTGGATTTTAAATAACTCCCTCTTTGGAGTAAGGGAGATGTTCCCAGGAGGTTAGAAAGACTGAGCATTTTAAGTTGTTGATGGACCTTTATTTATTTTTATGTGGTGCTGAGAATCGAACCCAGTGCCTCACACATGCCAGGCAAGTGCTCTACCACGGAGCCCCAGCCCCAGCCCAAGGCTGAGCCTTGAAACCCAGGATGTGGTGGGGCTGAGATTTGCTCCCCCAGATCTCTGACCCCAGTTCTCCTGCCCGGGGACCCCTGTGCCCTGAGAGACTTGGTCAGACAAGGCTGTGAAGCAGAGATCTACACCCACCAAGTGCACAAACATTGAGCGCCTACTGTGTGTGGGCAGCTTCTAAAGTCCAGGTGAAGGACTATCCAGGAAGTCAGAGGCACTTGTGGAGTGCAATTAGCATCTTGATGAAATAGGAAAAAAAGATCCAAGGGCTAGGGGGCAGGCAGCAAGGAAGGGGGCGGTGCTTACTGAACAAAGGGATGTTTAAAATGTCCTTGTGTCTTGGCACAGAGAAGGCCCCCCAAGCAATATCTGAATTGAATCCAATTGGATCCAGTCAATGCCCTGCTTGGGGAAAAACCAAAAAATGGTTTCTGGCCTCACGGAAACATTCCCTGTGAGGCGGAGGAGAAGGGCGAATCTCCTGTGGGGGTTAGCAAACCAAAGCAACAGATGCATTTTAAATAAGGCAGACCCGCAGCTCTCAGGTTGCAGAAGTTTTGGCTAAAAGAGAAACACCCACTTGTATGTTGCAGGATTTGAGCTTAATCACCTGCTACTATTGAAGGCTAATCTCCACTTTCCAGATAAATGGAGGGTTGGCTCTGTTACAGAAGGCTAAACCAGCTCTGGGGGCCCCTGAACTCCACAAAGGGGCTGATCTGGTTGTCTGAGCTCTGGATCCAAAGTGGTAAAGGATGCTTTGTCCCAGGATAGAAACAGTGAAATCCTGTTCCAGGTTGCCCACCAGGAACCAGCAACTTGACTTGTTTTTTTTTTTTTTTTTTTTACTTGAATGTTGTATTACTCAGCTTACTGTTACTGTAACAAAATGCCTGAGGTGATCCGATTTTTTTAAAAATGGTTTATTTGGGTTCACAGTTCTGGAGCATTCAGTCTTTGACAGGTTGAGCCTGTTGCTTTGGGCACAGTACATCATGGCCCGCATGCAGGTTGGAAGAAATTTGTTTACATCATGGTGGCTGGGAAACAGAGACAGAGGAAGGGGTTGGGGTCCCAATATCCCCTAAAAGGACACATCCCCACCAGTGACCTAACTTTCTTCTACTAGACGCCCCCAACCTCCTAAAGGTTTTGCCACCTCCCCATAGTGCTAGACGCTTCAAGCTGGTGACTTCAAGCTTATCACACATGGTCCATTGGGAGACCTTCAAGGTCTAGAACTCTAAGTCCCTAACATGCAATCACCCTAACAGAGCCGTGGGGTGGGTGCGAGTGTCGGGCCCCACTCTAGAGAGAGGAAAATGAGACTCAGACCAAATCAGCTAAAAACCACAATCACCTAACAGAGGTCTCAGGCTGACTCCTGTGGTTTCTGTTTCTCACAATCAACTGCAGCTCGAAAATATCAGATGGAAAATTCCAGAGGCCAACAATTCCTAAGTTTTATTTCTTAAAAAAAAAAAAAAACAAATTTGTTACTATTTATAACAAAGCATCCAACTATTTATGACTATGATAACTATTTATCACATAGCTGGCCGACTCCTCTACCTACCCCTCTTTCCCATTGGGACTTTGAAACACACATCTAATGAAAGATCCTTCCTTAGGTCCTTTCCTCTCTCTTCATCCTGTTAAGTCAGTCTTTGAAGGAGGAACGGAGAAGAGAGACTAAAAACAAACTACGAGGCTCACAGAGAATTCAAAGTCACATTGTCTTGAGTTTTGAACCATCTTGTGACTGAAAGAATGGTATGTCTGGGAGATATTTAGAAAGACCTTTCTGGGCAGAGCCGAATTTAGATCATCTTCCAAGTACCTTCTCAGGGTAATGACTTCATCTAAGGCACACAAAAATTACCCAGTTGCAATTCACCAAGCGACTATGAAATATCTACTCCAGAGCCTCAAATAAGGAAGGAATCAATCCTTGTTTTTATAAAGGCATTAAGGGAATTAGTTGTTTGTAGCAATTAAGGGCACTTTTGCACTTTGGGCTTTTATCTTAAAAACACAATTCTAGCTGGGTGTTGTGGGACACACCTGTAATCCCAGCCGCTGGGGAGGCTGAGGCAGGAGGATGGTGGATTCAGAGCCAGCCTCCACAAAAGCGAGCTTAACCCCTGAGCCACATCCCCAGCCTTTTTTTTTTTTTATGTTTTCTTTTGAGACAGGGCCTCACTAAGTTGCTGAGGCTGGCCTTGAACCTGAAATCCTTGTGCCTCAGCCTCCTGAGCCACTGGGATTATTACACAGACCTGGGCCACCGCGCCCGTCAGGCCTCTTGTTCAAATATATCATTGGGTCCAAAGAACTAAGTAAGCTCCTTCATTTGAGGACGGTTCAATGTAAGAGTTGTTTTTCATTCTCCAATTTATCTTTTCCCTCTGAATCTCGAAGTTGAGGTTTTTTCCGTGCAGTTCTCGAGGGAGTTCCGGAAGGGCATCCTGCAGACGTATTTGCATGGACCTCTATTTCCATTTTTTTGGTTCACCTTCTGGGAAATTTTCAATTTCTGTTTCTCGAACGGGCCCATCCTCTTTACCTTCCTGTAAATTCAGTTCGACTTCTCTAGGGTGACTCAATATCACTTTCGCATAGGCCAGGAGGCACCAGCCCGCTCCACCCAGTCTTCTTTGATCAGAAAGCGATCACCTGCCATTCATCTGATGACCTCCAACCCAGACGTTTTTCAATCAGGGGCCACATTCTGAGTAGTGCCCCAGGATCTCATGCCAGGCCGCTTCATCCTGCCAGAGGCATGGATCATCACCGCTCTGCCCCTTACTCTGTAGCGTCCCCTGTTGACAGCTGGACCTGCCAAGGTGTCACAGTGCCTGGGTTCCAGTCATTGTTACGCCTTAGCCTAAGGTGACCTCACAATGCCTGGTCCCCGACCCCACTTCATCTCTTCATGTGGACCCTGGATCCTCTCATGAGCAGGGCGGACCCAGTCCAGGAAATTATTTTGAGAGAGAGGGGAACTGTACTCATATAACTTTTATGGCCACATATGGTTACGATTATTCTATTTTTTTTTTTTTAGTTATTGTTCATTTCTTCCTGTGCTGATATATAAATGAAACTTTATCACAGGTAGGGGTATGGTAGCTTTTCATTAGGGTGGCCAAAATATCTGATAAGAACAAATTAGAAGACAAAAGATGGGTGCACAGGGTCAGAGGACACTCCCAGTAGTCCAGTGGACTATCAATGGATAGCTCAATGGGGTCAGAACCCCCAGGAACCAATCAGGGCCTGAAAGTCTCACCCTTGAACCTGGTTTTTGTTTTGGGGGACTGGGAATTCCTCATCCTGGCCTTTGGGGAAACATTCCCATTGGGAAAAAACATAGTAAATGTAAGGGTCAGTAGTGTCTGTGATTTGTGGCATTCCCTGGGGGATCTTGGAATGTGCCCCCTGGATGGGGGAGGGGCTCTCCTGTAAATGACACCATCCTTTACTGAATGGCTGAAGCCAGAAATCTAGGGTTGACCCTCCATTCTTTCCTATCCTTGCTCCCACATCTTACTCATCACCAATTTGCCCGTTCTACCTTCCAAAACTCAGAACATAACTCCACGTAGCTACATCTCTCGCATCCCCACTGTCCCGTAGCTCCCTTTATCTCTGCTGAGTCACTAACTGGTCTGCAATCCCCACTCACGCTCCCCCAGCAGCCCCAGGAGATCTCCAACGTAAACCTCGGTGTCAGCCCTCACAGGAAGCTCTCCGATGGCTTCTTAGGGTTCCTACCTACTATATAAAAAATTTATATAGTATTATATATTATATAAATTTTTTTCTTTTTATCTTCCATTCCTTTACATCTCCCTTCAGCTGTATCTAATCACTTCTGCAACATATGTTGGCAGTTCTTAATTTCAATTACTGAATCGTTCAGGTGGACAATTTCCAATCAATGTCCTCACCTTTTGTGGGTCATTTATTTTCTTTTCTTTTTTTTGTTAAGAATTTTTTTAAAAATATTTATTTATTTATTTTTAGTTTTCAGCGGACACAACATCTTTTTGTATGTATGTGGTGCTGAGGATCGAACCCGGGCCGCACGCATGCCAGGCGAGCACGCTACTGCTTGAGCCACATCCCCAGCCCGAGTCATTTATTTTCTTCCAGTATTTTACCTTCTTTTTTTTTTTCTTTTTCAATAACAGACTTTGTGTTTTTTAGAGTACATTTAGCTTTGCAGTTAAAGAGAATCTCTGTTGCACCCAAACATGACCTCCCCATTATCAACATCCTACACCAAAGTGGCACATTTTTTTTTTGTTACAATCAATGAACCGACATTAATGCATCATTATACCCTGAAGTTCGAAATTGACATTATGATTCCCTCTTGATGAACTCACTCTATAGGGTGGCGTGCATACTGACAAGTACCTATTATTATGTACCATATAAATAGTTTCACTGCCCTAACAATCTTCTGTGCCCTCCTCGTTCACCCCTCACTCCCGTCTAACCCCTGGTCATCTTAACTAATCTCTTTTGTGGGGCACCAGGGATTCAACCCAAGGGTGCTTCACCACTGAGCCACATCCCCAGCCCCCCTTTTATTGTTATATTTTGAGACAGGGGAATCACTAAGTTGGCGTAGGGCCTCACTAAGTTGCTGAGGCCGGCTTTGAACTTGCAATCTTCCTGCCTCAGCCTCCCGAGCCACTGGGTTACAGGTGTGCCCCACTGTGCCCTGCAATCACCGATCTTTTCATTGTCTCTATAGTTTTGCCTTTTCTAGAATATCAGGCGGTTGAAATCGTACAACATATAGCCTTTTCATATTGGCTTCTTTCACTTAGTAAAAGGCATTTAAGGGGCTGGAATTGTGGCTCAGTGGTAAAGCATCTGCCTAGCACATATCAGGTATTGGCTTCCTTTCTGAGCACCATATATAAATAAATGAATAAAATAAAGGTCCATCAACATCTAAAACAATTTTTTTTACAAAGGCATTAAGTTTCCTCCATGTCTTTTTAATTTTGTCCAGCGATTCTATTGTTCTCAGCAGGAGGAATGGTCTCAAATAATCCAGCCTCCTTGTGTGGTTAGACAGCGTTCTGTTACTATAACAGAATGCCTGGAATAGTCGGCTTTATGGAGAAAAGGTGTATTTTGGCCCACAGTTTGGGTCCATGGTCAATTGGCCCCATACTGTTAGGCCTGTGGTGGCAGCAATCCTGGCAGAAGGAGGTGGTGGGGCAGGCCATACCCTTCAGGACTGGGCTGCAAAGAAGAGAAAGAAAATGAGACCGAGGGTCCCATAATCTCTTTCAAGGGCACAGCCTCCACCCACCCACCCCAAAAAATCTAAACCATCCCATTAGGCTCTACCTCTTAAAATTTCTCCCATGTCCTATTAGCACCATTCTGGGGGAAAAGCTTTTAACTCATGGGCTTTTGGGGCGTACATTTCAAATCCAATCTACAGCACTGCTGTGGCTGGAAACCTCCCATTATCTTCAGAGGAGAGGAAAACTTCCTGTCCTGCCAATCACGGGATGGGTGATTTGGATAGTGCCTAGCCCTCCAGGTTCACACCACACTCCCCTTGGATCTTGGCACTGCAGTAGGATGCTGGGCTTTTCCATGTACCTCAAATATGCCAAGCTCCTTCCTACCCCAGGGACTTTGCATGTGGTCCCCACCCCCTCCATCTGGAATGTTCTTTCTTTACCTCATCCTCTGGGTCTCAGTTTAGATGTTACTTCCTCCGAGTGACCTTTCCTGACTGGTCCAGTTTGAAGTGTCCTCCAAAGGCTCATGCAACAATAAAGGACCATTAGAGAATCTTCTTGGTGGGCTGACATGGCCTGATTTACATCTGAGATCCCTGCAGGTCTTGGGGGAGGGGGGGTGACGGTCATAGACATGTTCATGATCCTGCAGGGATAATGGGTGCTCGAGGGACAGGGACAAGAGAGGGGACGGGAGAGAAAGAGCCACACTGAGTATGTTCAGGATTATGACAATATACTGTAGTAAATGTTATATGAATATGGTCCCTCTCACAATGTCTTCCTGTCCTGTACTCACCCTTCTTGTGATAATGTGAAGTGACACAGAGTCCACATGAGGAGATGAAGTGACCAGGCATTGTGATGTAGTATTAGGCCGTCACATAACAACGACTCGAACCCAAGCACCTCGGCAGTCAAGCTGGTAACCAGATGCTACAAAGTGACGAACGGGAGGGTAGCATATGCAGTGTGGAAACTCTGGACAGAGGGATGATTCATGCCCTGGGGCAGAATGAAGTGAGATGGCATGAAATTTTGTGGCACCCCTCGGAAGGACACACAAATTAAGACTCATAAACTGTTGACTTCTGGGATTTTCCATTCAATATTTTTTTTTAAGCTGCAATTGTCAGTGGGTAACCAAAACCATAGAAGGAGAAGTCTCAGGTAAGGAGGAACTAGTGTGCTGAAATGAGAATGGGCTGGAAGAGGAATCAGCCTGGGGTCTCCGTTACACTTTGAAGGTGATTCTTCTGAGTCACATTTTCCTCCTCTCTAGAGTGGGGTCCATACTTGCACCCAACCCGTAGCTTTTTGGGGATAATTATATGTTAGTGATTATAATTATAGCCATCAGCTATGGTTTGGATCTTGAATGTCCCTCAAAGACCTTAAATGCTAAAGACTTGGTTGCCAGCCTGTGGCACTCTTGGGAGGGGGTGGAACCCTTAAGAGGTGAGGCCTACTGGGAGGAAGTTAGTCATTGGGGGTGTGTCTCAGTCCCTTCCTCTGTCCTTGCTTCCCAGTCACCATGGGGTAAACAGGCATCCTCACCCACATGCATCCTCACCCACGCCTACCATGATGCGCTGAGTTGCCACAGGGCCAAATAACCATGGACTACAGTCTCCGAAACTGTAAGCGAAAGTAAATCTTTCCTCTTTTAATTTGATTACCTCAGGCGTTTTGTTACAGTAATGGGAAGCTGACTCATACACTGACCTTGCCTTCTAAAGGAGGCACAGCCCTCATCTGATGCCTTTGAGACCTGTGCTCTTCTCTACATCATATGCAATATGATGCACAAGAAGGTTTGGATTTGGAGAGCATCTCTGATTTCAGATTTGCATATTAGGATGTTCCGCTGGTAAAGTCTATGCAAATATCAGGGAAAAACAAAACAACAACTCTTAACCATAATATTACCCTCACAGCTCATTTGGAAGAAATATTTAGGAAACATAAACATAATCTCTGCCCCCAAATGGTCCACAATCTGGTTAAAAAGACAAGACATCCTTCTGCATGGAGCTGGATTAAAAAAGACTTCATCTGTCTGGTATAGTGCTGCCCACTTGTAACGGGCAGTCTCCAGAGTCTCAGGAGACTGAGGCAGGAGGATCGCAAGTTCAAGGCCAGCCTCAGCAACTTAGCGGAGACTGTCTCAAAAGTTTAAAAATTTAAAAAGAGGACTCTGGGGGTAAAGCATCCCATGGGTTCAATCCCCAGCGCCCAAACAAAAGCAAAAATCCCAAAACAAAACCATATCTAGGGCTGGGGTTGTGGCTCAGTGGTAGAGCGCTCGCCTAGCATGCATGAGGCACTGGGTTCAATCCTCAGCACCACATAAATGTAAAATAAAGATATTGGGTCCACCTAAAAATTAAAAAAAAAAAAAACAAACACACACACACATCTAAGGAAACCAATTCAAGACAAAAACACTCAAACTGAGCCGTTGGTTGAGCTCAGCCTTGAACCATCAGGTGATGGGGTTGCCGTGTCCCTCTGCAGCTGGGTCCTATGGTGGTGGTCCCATGTGCACCCTCCCCCCCCTCTCCGCCCCCCCCCCACAGGCCCTGCAGTTCTGGGGATGGAACCTGTTAGGTGCAGGACAGGCTGAGTAAGCTGTCTGCAGGGCATGCCAAACAAAGTTAGCTGCAGGGTGACCTGCCCTCTCAAACCCTCTGTCTGGTTCTTTATCAACTATTTGCTTCAAGCCAAATGCCCAAGCCCCCGCTCAAGGCCGAACACGTAACCCCCCTTGCCCCCCACCCACCCAGCTTGGTTTTCCATTTTTTAAAGACACTTTAAATTCCGTAGTGATCTGGAATCCTCCGAACACTTGGAAAGATATCATCGAGGTAAGCGTTGACTTAAAAGTATCCAGGGCCTGTTGGGATTTGGCCAGTTTATCCCTAACAGCTCTTCCCTGGTCTGGGATCCCACCTAGGACTCCCCCCCTCCTCCGCCACTGCCTCCAACCGGACAATTCCCTTCTGTTTCCCACCACCATCTCGGCAGTTCGGAGGGGCTCTGGGGGGGCAATAGCAGGAAGACCCCCCAAACCGTAGCTATTCACACGTTTGTGAAGGAGGTGACTGTCGTAGGGCCTGCTCAGTGAGCTGGATCTAGATGGGACTCAGATGAATCATCACGGGGGGGGGGGGACACTTCTTATAGAAAGCTCAGGTGCCTGGCCTCTCACCTGGGCCTCCCCTGCTGACACGACTCCCTCTGGGTAGCCTCACCCTGGTCAGCAAGGGGCCTCTTGTGCATCCCTTGCACCTGGAGGGGGTGGGTAGCAGGGACCTGGGGGTGTCTGCTCAGCTGGGACCCCTCCGCCTGGTTCCAAACTCTGTGGGAAAGCCCGGGGGGGGGACACCCACCAACCATGTTAAAATAAAACTCGGAATTGAAAAGACCCTTTCTTTCTCTCTCTTTCGGTCTGAGTCACCATATAAAGCTCCCTCCTGGTGGACACATATAATATACCAGAGGCCAGTCCAGGGTGACCTGTCCTTTTGGCACCAGTGTGGAGGACCGTCCACCCCACTCTCAGATCTGCGGTTGGCAAAGGGAGGCCTCCCCCCGCCAACAGATCCCTACAAAAGGCCTGACGTTCCCTGGGGGTCCCCCAGAAAATACTGGGGGGGTGGTCACTGGGAGATGGCCGCCTTGGGATCCCGGTTCACACACGGGCTCTACTTTCCTCTTGCAAGTGAGCCCTGAGCCTCGGTTCTGTCCTCTGTCAAATGGGGTCACGGGCAGCATCTTCTTCCTGGGCCGCCGTGGGCTTCGTCTGAGATGACACGGGGCAGGGTGGCTAGCACGGTGGCTGACCCTCAGACGGTCAGGGTCAGGTCTCCCTGGATGTGGCAGAGAGCCCTGGCCTCTCCCTCCAGTCTGGAAGTTCAAAGAGGAGTGGGAAGAGACCCGCTGTCCCCCCTCATGAAGGACACCCCATGTCAGGTCCGACTGCTTTGGCTTGTTTTGCAGGGCCAGGGCTGAAACCCGGGGCGCTGGACATTCTGGGCAGGCCCTCGACCACCAGCTACCCTCTAGCCCTGAGCTGGGTTAGAGAGTGGGGACCCTTCTAGACTCAAGTGCCTGAGAGACTTTCCATGGTCAGCGAGTGCCAGACCAGCCATAGGCTGAGAGTACACCCGCTACCTACAGCTAGGGACACGGGGGTCACCGTTAAAGTGCCAGGAGGCATTGACCCCTGTGATAGGCTTTCTGGAAAGTTCCATCAGCTATTCCTATCTCTTGGGTCCTCTCTAGCAGCTTCACCTCCAGCCCTGTGGCCCCTGTGGTGTCCCCCCCCCATCCCAGGTGAGCCCCGTGAGGGACAGTGGGGTCCGTGGGGAGAGCAGAGAGGGTCTTCAAAGACTGAGCCCCGGAGCCTGGGCTTCATTTCCCTATGACCCACGTGGAACTCCGCATCCACAGAGCAAGGGTGAGTGGAAATAGAGCAGGGAGACAGCTTCCAGGACTTTCCCATGTGACTATACCCACGCAATCTCAGCGCCCACGTGGAACACGGATCTCGGGCCCCGTAGCAGGGTTCCGTTCCTTGCCCTTCCCACCAAGTCACCTCTGTCCCTGGAGATGACCTCTTGCCTAACCGCGAACTCCTTGAACCGTGCTGCATCTGTTTGGATTCTTTCTCTCCACATCAAGCCTGTGAGATTCACCTGTGCTGTGTGCAGCAGTGCGGTTCATTTTCTTCGCTGTGTAGTATTCCATCCTCCTGTTAATGGATATTTGGGATGGTTACATTTGGGGGGTGGGGGGCATGTGTTTGGCTTTAGGGAACGTTGCCACGTGGCTTAACGACTTTCCACAGTGTTTGTACCACTCCACCCTCCCACCAGCCGAGCCCAGGAGTTCTAACAAGGCCTTGGATCATTTCATCAGAAAGACCCGGATTCCAAGTCCTGCTCTGCCACTTAGCAGCTGTGACACTTGGGGCAAAACATATGACTTCTTGGAGCCTCGGCGTCCCCACCCGTAAGTGGAATGATGGCTCTTACCTTGCAGGGCTGTCTCCAGGACTGAGTGAGGGGAAAGCTCGGACCACGAGCTCTTCTTCCTTCCGCAGAATCAACAGGGAGACGCCTCCACGGCCCAGTTCGATGTGAGACCCTGGGTCTACCCTGTCCCAGGGGGATAAGCCCTGTGCTATGCTGTGAAGTGTCCCCCCAAGTTCATGTGTTAGAAACTTAACCCTCAGATTCTCATGTTGGTGGCCTTTGGGACCTAATGAGGGCACCAGGGGGCCGTGGGGGTGGGGCCTCCACCATTGTGTTAGTGCCTTTGTAGGAAGAGTTAGCCCCCATGCTCTGGCTCACCCTGTGCCCCGTAAGCATGCACCAGTGGACGCTCAGCAGATGCCAAGTAGCCAGCCCCGTGGACTTCCCAGCCACCAGGCCTGGGAGGTTAATAAATTTTTATTCCTTATAAATTACCCCGTGTGACATTTGCAGCCTATTTATGGCAGGGCCGTGGACTAGGTGGCCGAGAGATCAAGGAAGAGACCCAGAGAAGGAATACGGTGCCCATATAGTTAGTTGAGAAGTGTTTATGGGGGAGATCCAGTGGCGGCAGGCTGGCCCGAGCGCCTCTGCCCCTCAAAAGGGCTGCCTGGACCCGCACCTTCCTCCCTGAGGTTACTGAGCCATCCCAGTTACTACAGGGAGGGGGTTTATGGGTTCGCTTACAGAAGCCACAAATCATTGATTTGTTTAGTCTGTTTTCTTTCTTGTGTGACCGGCATCCAGCTGTCTGGGTATGTGGGCAAGAGAGCAGCTCACTACAGAAAGCACTGCATTGCTCTAATTCCCAGCATACTTTAGAGAAGTCCAAGGTCCTTCTGGATAGTACGTGTCCAGGCAGGCCACCCTGGCCTGGCTCTCACAGTCCCCTGGGGCTTGTTAAATCCTTGTGAAAGCAACATTTCAGGGACCTGGTACTACTGTCCTCTTTTTTTTTTTTTTTTAAGAACAGTATGCCTGATCTCAGGCATTTTGTTATAGCCACAGAAAACATGACTACATCCTGGATCTTTGCTTCCAGGAACAACCTCCTCTGAGATCAGGGTGGCCCTCAATTCTCGGAAGCTTCAGCTCCCATCCCCAACGGTGGCTGATCCAGCAGTGGGTATAGGCTGTGCTAATGCCAGCCTTACTCTGGGTAGCCACCTGCTCAACTCCCTCAGAGCCCAGCTAGGTCCCCAAGCACAGCAGTGAACACAGTTGGCCACTTCTTCATACTCAGCGGTTTGCCTGTGCTGATGTTCCCTTGGGTGCGGTGCAGCACGGCGGCTTCCTCAGCCCACCCATCTCTCCCCCGCGTCTGGAAGGGAGTAGAGGTTCAGAGAGGAAGTCTTGGGGCTGGAGTGAGCGGGTAGAGGTGGGGTGGGGGTAAAATGCGTGCACTTGACCAAGGAGGCTTAGAGATGGTAAGAGAACTAACTGCCTGAGGCCGTGGTGAGTGGCAGCTACTGTCATTGTCCTGGCCACGGCTTGTGTTTCCTGGGTAATCGCTGAGTGCCAGGCGCTGAGCTTGACTCTTCCCCCCACCCCACCTCTACCCGCTCTGAACCTCAAACGTTTGGCTCAGGCTCCTACCTCAGGACCTTTGCACATGCCGTTAAACTCTTTCTGGCATGCTCCTTGTCCAGACATTTGCTTGGGTGACTCACCATCTCCTACAAATCTCATCTTGCCCGTGAAGACCACTCTGACCGTCCGTCCATCAGTGTGTGTGGACCAACAAGTACTATTGAGAAGGAAGAAGGGACAGAGGAGAGAAGCTGGGGGAGGGGAAAAGGAATGGCGCATGGCCATCTTTATTCCGGTGAAATCAGGTGACGATGAGCATCCCAGAGGGATCCCGATGGCACAGAAAGATCAGAAAAGTCCCCAGAGGGAGGCAGGGCAGCAGCTCTGCTCATTTGCCCCGATGCAGATTTTGAGGCTCCAGATGTGAGCCAGTCTCACAGTCTGGGCAGCCCCCCCTCCCGGTCCCTCCTTCCACCCGCCAACCACCCCGGGGGCTCTGACGACATGAGGAGTCCCCCCATCCCCCAGCCACAGCCCCGGGAACGGTCAGGGTGAGGAAAGATGCTCAGAGACCCTCAAAAATGACTCATGTCACTCCTGCTCCAAACGGGGGACCCTGACACCCTGACCTCCTTGAGTGTTTCGTCCCACTGGATGGCCACCACACCTGGGCAGATGGTGCCCCAGACCCAGGACGGTGTCACCTGCTGCAGCCCCCCCCCCCATCACCACTTCCACCACTCTTTCCTCCCGGGAGGGACCGGGGTTTCACACAGCAGCAGCCGAGGCCCATAAATAGCAGCTGGCCACTCGCAGGCCGACCCTCCCAGGCCCCAAAAAGGAAGTGAGAGAAAGGCGGGCACTTCTGTCCTTCCTGCAGAAAGTACTGCTTCTGCAAGTGACCCCCCCGCAGGCCCTCCCCAGGGCTCCCCATCCTCCGTGCGGACCCAAACCAGCTCAGGGCCTCTGTGGGGCAGGGTTAGCCTCAGGTGGGGCTCAGCTGCTGTAACAGGTAGGACCCAGAGACACGGCCGACCAGGGGGGGAGCGGAGGCCTCACCAGGAATCTGTGCCCCGTTTTGTTTTGTGAATGGCACTTTGTTCCATAATGAGGCCCTGCTGACCCATGTAGGGGCCATGCTGGCTTAAGAAAGCCCCACGGCTGGCTGGGCTCGGGGTGACCTCCCTTGGGAGGTACACTCATCCACGTGAAGATCAATAGTCACACACACCCCCAGCTTTTTAGGCAAAACTAGATTTGGAGTAGCAGTGTCTGGGGATGTCCCCAGCTGCTGCCCCACGGGTGGTCACCAAATGTGAGCGAAGACTTGAATCTCAGGTGAGCAAAGCTGGGAAGACATAGAATGTCCGGTGGGTACCTTTCCAGAGGCCTTTCCCTCAGTCCTTCCCTGTTCAAAGTCTCCATCTGTTCCTGCCCACACTCCTGGCCTGGCACAGCTGCGAGGATAAACCGTGATGCACCCTCAGGACAGGACACGGAATGAGCCGGACCCACGGGCCTCTCACAAACAGGCTGGGGGAGAAGGAAGGCCGGGGACAATGTGTGGCTCCATGCATGTCAACTAGAACTCAGACAGCCCCAGGACCACCGTCAGCCCCCATGGAGGTAGGTGAAATTAAAAAAAAAAAAAAAAAGAGCCGGAATCAGAAACTCACCAAATTCCAATACTGGCGACTTCAGGGTGCCGGGGGGCAGGGGGTGGGGGTGATGCAGCCGGTAAACTTGAACCGCATCTGCAATGCTTCAGGCTTTAAAAAGAATAAACTCCACCAGCCTTTTAAAAAAATATTTAATTTTTAGTTTTAGGTGGATGCAATATCTTTATTTTATTTATTTATTTTTTAAGAGAGAGAGAGAGAGGGAAAGAGAGAGAATTTTTTTAATATTTATTTTTTAGTTTTTGGTGGACACAACATCTTTGTTTGTTTGTGGTGCTGAGGAACCAACCCGGGCCGCACACATGCCAGGCGAGCGCGCTACGGCTTGAGCCACATCCCCAGTCCTTTATTTTATTTTTATGTGGTGCTGAGGATCGAACCCAGTGCCTCATGCATGCCAGGCAAGCGCTCTACCTCTGAGCCACAACCTCAGCCCTGGAACTCTATCAGTTTTAAACAAGGCCCTTTGTTAAATTATTATTATTATTATTATTATTAGTGCTGGGGATCGAACCCAGGGCCTTGTGCATGCAAGGCAAGCACTCTACCCACTGAGCTACATCCCCAGCCCTAAGTCATTTCTTGCACCATTCCAAGTGTGATTTTCTGCATTCAAATATTCGATTTCAACACATGGGTTTTCCCAGCTTCATTATCTTTACCAGAAGGTGGGCACTCTGCAGCACAGGAGAAAACAGACCAAATATCCCTGCCCCTGAAGGCTATGCAGAGACAGATCATAAACACGTAAATAAGGGTCCATGTGTCTGGGGTTGACCAGGTCAGCGTGGGAGGAAAAGGCAGGAAGGTGAGCTGGTGTGACAAATGCTTTGTTTATTTATCAATTTTTTTAAAAAATTGTTCTTTTTAGGTCAACGTGACAGTAGAGGGTATTTTGACATATTCTGCATACATGGAGAATAACATCCTAATCAGGATCCCATTCTCGTGGGTTGTATGACATGGAGTTCCACTGGCCGCATGTTCATACATGAGCACAGGAGAGCTCTGTCTGAAGCATCCTCCTGTCTTTCCTAGTCCCCTGCCCCTCCCTTCCCTGGGGATGCTATCGTAGGTAAGGGAGCACGTGAGGTTATCTAGGATGCCCTGTATTGCTAATATTTTTGCAGTACCAGGGGTGAAACCCAGGCCTTGTGCAGTCAAGGCAGGTGCTCTACCACTAGCTACACCCCCAGCCCTATCCCTTTATTTGAGCCAGAATTTCTCTAGGTTGCCCAGGCTGGCCTCAAACTCCCAGGTGGAAGCAATACTCCTGCCTCAGGTGGCTGAGACTACAGGTGCATGCCTCCCTAGCGTCTTGTTCCTTTTTATGGCTGAGTAATACCCCATTTGGGTGGAGGTATGGCAGTTGCTTGTTGATTGACATCTCAGCTGTTTCCAGTTTCTGATGATCACGAGTCAAGCTCTCATAAACATTGATGCACGTGCTGGTGTGAACATGTCCCTTCATTCTTTCCTAACGGTGGAATCGCTATCTCACCTTGGAGGGATGTTTAAAATTTAAGAACCTGCCAAATTATTTTCAAAAGGGATTTACTGTCTACATTCTGACCGGCCAAGAATGAGAGTCCAGTCGTTCCACCTTCTCGTCAACCCTGGGTACCGTCGGTCTTTTTCATTGTAGCCCAGGTGTGCAGTGGTACCTCGTTAAGGTTTTTATATTTCTCCCTGTCGACACTGAGCCTCTTTCTTGGGCTCATTTGCCATCCACATTAGGGTATTTGATGAAGAACCTGTTCAAATCTTTTGTCCGTTTTTGAAAAAGTGGATTGTTTATATTCTTCTTATTGGATTTTGAGAGCTCTTTATATATTCTGGATGAAATCTATTTCAAACAATTAGAGCTTTAATAGGTATACATGCAAAGGGGTATATTTTGACATACATGCATGGAATTTGATTTCAATCCCCATCCCCCTCCGACTTCCCTCCCCCTCCCTCCTCTCCTTCCTCTACTGATTATAAATGATTTGCAAATATTTCCTTCTGTTCTGAGGCTTATCTCTTCACACTCTTAACAGCATCTACTGAAAAGCAAAAATTTTTAATTTGGACGAAATTAATTTATCTTTTTAAAAATTTTCTGGTTTATGCTTTCAGTGTTGTATCTAAGAAGTCTTTGCCTAACCAAAAAAAATTTTTTTTTCAAATGTTTTCTTCTTAGAAATTTTGGCTTTAGGTTTTACATTTAGGTCTATGATCCTTTTGGGGGGTATATGGTATAGGATATGGACCCAAATTATCATTACTATTTTTTTTTTTTTGCATACGGATTTCAAATTGCTCCAGAACCATTAAATAATCCTTAGCTGGGCATGGTGGCACATGCCTTGTAATTCTAGCTACTCAGAAGGCTGAGAAGGAGGATCACAAGTCCAAGGCCAGCCTCAGCAACTTATCGAGACTTTGTCTCAAAGTAAAAAACAATAGTGCTGAGGATGTGGCTCAGTGGTTAAGCACCCCTGAGTTCAATCCTCAGTACCAAAAAAGGGAGGGAGGGAGGGAGGGAGGGAGGAAGGAAGGGAGGGAGGGAGGGAGGGGAAATTGAAAAAAGAAAAGAAAAAAATGATTCCTTATCAATTGCCTTTGCACCTTGTTGAAAATGACTTGTCCAGATGTTGGGTTCCATTTCTAGAGTCTTTATTCTGCCCCATACTAAAACCACACCCTTTTTTATATAATTTTATTTTTTAGTTTTAGACGGACACAATACCTTTATTTTACTTATTTTTATGAGGTGCTGAGGATCGAACCCAGGGCCTCACACGTGCTAGGCAAGCGCTCTACCCCTGAGCCACAGCCCCAGCCCAAACACACCCTTTTTTCTAGTCTAGTTTTAAGGCTAGTTCTAAAGGAGGCAATTCGAGCCTCCAACAGCTCTTTGACAACTTGATATTGAGGTTTCTGATCTATAAGCATAGTCTATCTCTCCTTTTACTTAAGATTTTTATTTATTTTTATCTATTTTTTTAGGTGTAGATGTGGGACACAACACAATGCCTTTATTTTTATGTGGTGCTGAGGATCGAACCCGGGTCCCACCCGCGCTAGGCGAGTGCTCTACCGCTGAGCCACAACCCCAGCCCAACTTAAGATTTCTTTAACTTATCTTAGCAATGTTTTTTGTTGTTGTTGTTTTCATTATATAAGTCTTTCACACCTTTTGTCAGATTTATTCCCTTTTCATATTTTTGAGAGCCCTGCAAATTATGAGAATTTCAATTTGTTGTTTGTTATTAATATTTAGAAAAATGCAATCAATATATGATATACAAAATCCACCCATGGTGTATATTGATCCCGTGTCCTGGGATCTTATTAAAGTCCTATTAGTTCTAATAGCTTTTATGTAAATTCCATGGAATTTTCTATATATAGGATTTTCCATATAGCAATTATGTTTGTCTAAGAATAAAGACATATTTTTTTTCTTTCAAACCTGAATGATTTCTATATCTCCTTCACTCCTTATAAAAGGCTCAGGGGTCACTCCAGATAAACTGGGCTAACTGGGCTGTACGAAATAACCAAAAAGAGACACAAATACCTTTTATTTTGGGCTCCCTGTGACGGCTCCTCTGACCTTAAGGGTCCGCAGGAAGAGAGAGAGCGAGAGAGCACGCACTGACCCCTTTTATTGAGGAGAAGCTACCTCAAAGTAATAAAAGCCATATATATATATATATATATATATATATATATATATATATATATATATATATAAAACAACCCTACAACATAATGCATGGTGAAAGCCCTTCTTTAAGATCAGAAATAAAGTTAGTATGTCCATTTTCACCACTTCCTATTGAACATAATATTGGAAGTTCTAGCCAGAGCAATTAGACAAGAAAAAGAAATAAAAAGAATCCAAATTGGAAAAGAAGTAAAATTATCTCTGTTTGCTGATGATGATCTTATATGTAAAGATCTTGATTCCATAAGATAAACTGTTAGAACTAATAAATGAATTCCTCAAGGTAGCAGGATACAAAAGTCAACATGCGAAAATCAGTTACATGTTCACACACCAACAATAAACCATTTGAAAAGAAAATTACAAACGGCATCAAACAGAATAAAATACTCAATTAACCAAGGAGATGAAATGAAAGATTTGTACAATAAAACTATAAAATAATGCAGAAAGAAATTAAATGAATGATGTTAAGGAAAACACTTCTCATATTCATGGATTGGAAGAGTTGACATCCATACGGAATTGTGGATTACCAAAAACCCTCTTAAGATTCCTGTTTAGACTAATATTCTGTTCATGATGATACACGTCTATTTCTAAGATGATTGCTATCATCTAAATATTTCTATCCACCCCAAAAATACATGTTGAAACCTAATCCCTGGTATGATAGTGTTAAGATGTGAGACTTTGGGGATAATTAGGTCACGAAGGCATGCCCTCTCATGAATAAGATTAGAAGTGGCCTTAGGGAGCATGTTCTTTCTCTCTGCAATGTGAAATCTAAGCAAGAAGGTACCATTTAGAAAACATAAAGTGAGACCTGACCAGACAAAATACTGCAGAGAGAAATTAAATGAAAGATGTTAAGGAAAACACATCTCATATTCATGGATTGGAAGAGTTGATATCCACATGGAATTGTGGATATCAATGACACCTTGATCACTTCTTGATAAATTCATTCCTTCATTAATAACCTAGGTCTTTTCTAACGTGCAACTCAAAACTTTTCCAGCCTCTACCTATTACACGTTTCCAAAGCCACTGCCACGTTTTGGGGGGTATTTGTTATAACAGCATCCCACTTTGCAGTGCCCAAATCTGAGTCGGTTTGCTCCGGTGGTGTCTCATTCTATTTTGTGCTACCATAACAGAATACTGCAGACCCAGCAATTGATAATGGACAGACATTTATTGGCTCATAGCTCTAGAGCCCAGAATTCTAAAATAGGAGGGTTGTATCTGATGAGATGAGAGAGAGAGAGAGAGAATTTTTTAATATTTATTTTTTAGTTTTCGGTGGACACAACATCTTTATTCTATTTGTATGCGGTGCTGAGGATCAAACCCAGCACCCAGCGCATGCCAGGCGAGCACTCTACCGCTTGAGCCACATCCCCAGCTCCTCATCTTTTTATAAGGCACATACTCTTGGGATAAGGAACCTACTCCCATGATAACGCCATTAATCCAGGCGTGAGGACAGAACCCTGGTGACCTAGTCACGTCTTAAAGTTCCCACCTCTTAACCCAGTTAAAAATGGCAACTAATTTTGATGTAAATTTGGGAGGGGGTGCAGATGTTCAAACGATGATATCAGGCTGCCATAACAAAAAGATTGGATGGCTGAAACAAGAGAAATTTATTTTCTCACAGTCCTGGAACTTAGAAGTTGAGGATAAAGGTGTTCGTAGAGTTGATCTCTTCCAAGGCCTTGTTCTTTGGCCTTGTGAGTGGCTACAAGGCCAAGTGGCTGTCCCTCGGTGCGCATCTGTGCCCTAATTCCCTCTTCTTAAAAGGACACAAGCCAGACAAGATTAGGGCCCACCTCCAACCACCTGATTGAACTCTAATTACCTCCTTAAAGACCTTATCTCCAAATATAACTACATACTGACGTCCTGGAGGTTAGAACTCCAACGTATGGATTCGGTAGGGCTATGGCTCAGCTCCTGACACCCCATTCCTAAGCTCCGGATGGCTGAGGCTGGAGAACTGAGGCTGGTAGCTCACTACTGGCCCTGAAAATCTTCTGCTCCAAAATAATATGCTTGATTTCTGCTCTACTTCACCGGCCAAAGCCAGTCCCATGGCCATGCCTTCTCTTCAGAGGGATGGGGAAATGCTATTCTCATATGATCCTTCAAGGAAGACAACTAGGACTTCATATAAAGCCCCTAATGATTACCAGTGTCTAGCATGGAGCCCCAGTAACTCCCTTTGTAGGTGGTCTGCCAAGATGGCCACCGGTCATTCTCGTCCTCTCTGGCCCTCTCCCCATCAAGAAATAGAGTCTAGGGCTGGGGATGTGGCTCAAGCGGTAGCGCGCTCGCCTGGCATGCGTATGGCCCGGGTTCGATTCTCAGCACCACATACAAACAAAGATGTTGTGTCCACTGAGAACTAAAAAAAAATAAATATTAAAATTCTCTCTCTCTCTCTCTCTCTCACTCTCTCTTAAAAAAAAAGAAATAGAGTCTATTCTCTTCCCTTGGAATTTGGATTGTCTTATAGTTTGCTTTATTCAACAGACTCTACAGGAGTTAATGTTCTAGATCTTTCCACCCTCAGACTCCAGAGGTCTGATAACTTCTGCTTTTGCAGAAGGAAACCCATGTATGATGAAGACATTCTAGACACATGAGGCAGCTCTCCGACATCATGAAAAGACTGAACCCCAGCCAGCCCTGACGGCTCTTTGAGCCACCCAACGGAGGCACCCGACATGTGACCGAGGCCACCTTTATTCTTCCAGCCCTACAGAGTCAACCTCGCTCACACCAGGCAGAGCAGAGACTCATGTTGAAATTTACCTCACCCCCACGGTGAGGGATCAAGAGGTGAGACCCGGTGGACGCATGAAGAGGAAATCAGGTCATTTAATGGATTAAATGCATTCATGGATTAATGGATTATTGCAGATGCATAAAACCTAATCCCAAACTGGCTTGAACCCATTTTTGTGTGGGGGGGGTGCACCATTGGACAGGGACGACGTCAGGCATGGCTGGATCCCGATCCACCTCTTAGGTTTGCTTCCCCCGGAGATTTCAAGCTGCATGTTTGTGACTGGCCCAGTTTGGGTCCTGTGTGCATTCCCGGGCCCACGGATGTTGTCAGAATAGAGAGCAGTTTGATTAGCCAACCTGGGGTGGTGATTCCCTCCAGACCCAGGGGTGGACCCAACATACTGCAGGGACTGAAAACACGGGCGTGTGTTCTCAGATGGCAATCAAGAGCTCTTTCAGAAAAGGTGTGTGAGATTAGCACCCTTCCTGACCCCAACCCTCCCTTCCCATTTGGCCTGCCTCTGCTCTCTCCCAAATACCTCATTGCCTCCCCACCCTCAGCTTGAGCAGGTCCCTCCTCCACTTGGAATGTCTTCCATACCAGTGGAAGACAGCTGGGTTGCCGCCGAGGCTGGCCTCAAGCTTCTGTGATCCTCCTGCCTCAGCCTCCTCAGCAGCTAGGATTACAGGCATGCACCACAGCACTCAGCTACATTAAGCATCTTGAGATGACGATCTTGCATTGTCCCCGGGAGCCCTAAGTGCAGTCACATGCATACTTACAAGGGGGAGGTAGAGAGAGAGTCCTTGACACAGACAGAAGAATCAGAGACAACATGACCGTGGGGACAAAGTCTGCAGCCACCAAACAGGCTCCCCTTGAGCCTCAGCAGGAGCATGGCCCTGAGGATGCCTTGATTTTGACCATGGGATACTGATTTAAGTCTTTTGACCTCCAGAACTGCAAGAGAATAAATGCTTGTTGTTTTAAGCCCCTGGATTAGAGAAATTTGTCATGGCAATCCTAGGACACGAATATGGCTTTCCACGTTATGAAGAATGCGATGTTAACGCCTGTAGGACCTGTGGTCTGACTCCTGCTCCTGCTCGCGCTCACAGAGGACATCCGACTGCAGCTTGAACACTGCTGCCCCAGGGCCTTTGCACTTATTCCCTCAGTCTGGCATGCTCTATCTTTGGGTTATTCCATTATCTCCTTAGGGGAGATCTTCCCTGACTAAAACAGCACTGCCCCACCCCCAGTCCCTTGTCATTTTTTTTTTTAAGTTCCCTTGATTTTCTTTCTTTTTTTTTTTAAAGAGAGAGAGAGAGACCACAGCCATGGTCAGCCAATTTGCATTGCAGAAAGTGTTTTTTTTTTTTTTTTTGAAAACTGAAATCACAGAATAAATAACCACGTGACCAACAACAGGCAGACAAAGACCCAGATTCCTGTGCCAACGGAAAAATAACGTTCTAGCACAAGTTCAAAGGCTCCACAGTGCCCCTGTGGCTAGGGGGTGCGCTCCCCAATATATATACCTCCACCCATCTACACTCACACGACCCCACCTACATACAACTCCCCACGCAAATACACACGCTCCACGTACCCATGCTCCTGGCTAAGCCCGCGGTGATTTTTCTAAGCATTTCCCTGATGACTAATGATGCTGACCATTTTTTTTTTTTACATGCCTGTTGTATATCTTCTTCGGAAAAAAAAAAAAAAAAAACTGTCCATTCAAGTCCTTGGCCCATCTTGAAGCGGGGTTGTTTAGTTTTGTTGCTGTGGAGTTATAGCAGTTCTTTATGTATGCTGGATACTAGGCCTTTTATGGGCGGTGATTTGTGGACGATTTCTCCCATTTGTGGATTGTCATTTTACTCTCTTGACAGCATCTTTTGCTTCACCCAAGTTTTCGATCATCCTGGAAGGAGAGAAAGAAGGTGTGTGGGGGGGATAAGGCACCAGGGAGAAAATCCCCAAAACATGCCCCGCAAGAACCTACTTCCTCTACCCACACCCCACTTGCCTACAATTACCACCCAGTCAATCCATTCAGATTATTAATCCACTGGATGGATGAATCCTGTGATCAGGTTGCAGCTCTCCAAATCTAATTATTTCTCCTCTGAACTTCCCAGTAATAATAGGAGCTTTTGGGGGACACCTCATATCTGAGCTATAACAGCTGCTTATGTTTTTATGGTCCTATGTATGAAATATTGCTAAATCCAAGGCACAGAATATTTACCATTGTGTTTTCTTCTAGGACTATTACAACTTAAAGTTCTAATATTTACAACTTTGGTCCATTTGGAGTAACTTCTCATATATGGAGTGAGGTAAGGGTTCAGCTTGTCTGTTGGGTGGATATCCAATCATACTAGACCTTTTATCCCTCTCAGGACTGGGAATAGATCCCAGGGGCCACTCTACCTCTGAGTCATACCCTCAGCCCTTTTTTATTTTTTTGATTTTGAGATTGGATCTCCCTAAATTGCCCAAGCTGGCCTCAAACTTTTGATTCTCCTGCCTCAGTCTCCCAAGGGATTATTATGTAATTCCTGAGATTAGAGGTAGTCACCAATGTGCCCAGTTTAGCACTGTTTTTTTTTAAAGGCTGGTCTTTCCTCTTCAAATGATCTTGATACTCCTGTTGAAAATAAATTAACCATATACATAAGAGACTCTTTTCTGAACTTAAAATCGACTCCAGTGATGTGAGTTTTTCACAAATGTCCTCTATCGTGGGCAGAAAGTTTCCTCTATTCCAAATTAATTAAGTGTTTTTAATCACAAAATGCGGTGGGTTTTGTTAAATGCTTTTTTCTGCATCAGCTGAAATCATACAGTTTCTCTCCTGCCTGCTGGTGTTGAGTGTATCACATGGATTGGGCAGTTCTGATTTCCTAAGGTAGGCTGGAAATCTGAATTCCAGTGAGGAATCTTCTGACTTTTCTTTATTATTATTATTATTATTATTACTATTATTATTATTATTTCTTTTTGTGGTGCTGGAGATCAAACCCAGGGCCTTGTGCATGCTGAGTAGGATCTCCATCACTGAGCTACACCCCCAGCCCTCTTTTTTACTTTTAAATGTTGGTGTGCATTTGTAAATTTGCTAAGGCCAAGGCCAGATCGACCCTGGGACCCCCCCCCCCAAGCTTGAAATTGCTGATTAAGAAATTTAAGCTGCGTGTGGTAGCACACACTTGTAATCCCAGGGACTTGAGAGGCTGAGGCAGGAAGATCTCAAGTTCAAGGCCAGTTTCAGCATTTATCGAGGCCCTAAGCAACTTAGCCAAACCCTGTCTCAAAATAAGAAATAAAAAAGGCTGGGGAGGGTCTGGGGTTGTGGCTCAGCGGTAAAGCACTCGCCTAGCATGTGTGAGGCCCTGGGTTCGATTCCCAGCACCATATGTAAATAAATTCATTAAATAAAGGTCCATTGAAAACTAAAAAAAAAAAAAAAAAAGGCTGGGGATGTGGCTCAGTGGCTCAGCACCTCTGGATTCAATCCCCAGTACCAAAAGAAAGAAAGAAAATTAAATGTCCTTTCTCCTTGGACTCAGGAATTACATTTCTTTCTTTTTTTTTTTTTTAGAATTTCTTTTTTTTAACATTTATTTTTTAGGTGTAGATGGACACAATACAATGCCTTTATTTTTATGTGGTGCTGAGGATCGAACCCGGGTCCCGCCCGTGCTAGGCGAGCACTCTACCGCTGAGCCACAATCCCAGCCCTCAGGAATTACATTTCTAGGAATTCATCCAGAAGATAAAATTCTTAATGTGGGTACAATTTATTTTATTTTAATAATAATAAAACATTCATTATTGTTATTATCATTCTAGTATTGGGGATTGAACCCAGGAGTGCCCTACTACTGAGCTACATCTTCACTACATTTTATGTTTTATTTTGAGACAGGGTCTCACTCAGTGCCTGGCCTTTAACTTGCAATCCTCCTGCCTTAGCCTCCCAAGTTACTGGGATTACGGGCCTGGGCCATAGTGCCTGGCCATGGGTACAATTTTTTAAGTATCCCCAAGTATTACTTTTAAAAGCTCAAAACTGGCAAGTCTCTGCATACCCAGCAAATGGGGATCCCTCCCAGGTGTCATATTGGGTCACAGCAGGGTGAGTATTTTGCAGTCACATAGGATGACTCTCATGAAGACCGCGGAACGCCATCAACCGATGACATAATAGTAACAATCGTCATTGAACATAACTGGAGTTGTGATATGCAAAATGTATATACCTTCCCCGATGACAACCAGAAGAGGGACTTCCCAAGGCCTTTCTATTAGTTTGGTTTGACAATAAGACATTTCCTACTGCTCCTTCCTCTTTTCCTCTTTTTTCCCCCAAATTTAGCATAAGAAGCTGATAAAACTTTTTTTTTTTTTTTTTTGGTAGGGGCAGAGGGTACTAGGGATTGAACCCAGGGTCGCCTAACCACTGAGCAACCTCTCCAGCCCTTTATTTTTTTTTATTTTGAGACAGGGTCTGGCTAAGTTGCTTAGGGATCTTGCTAAATTGCCGAGGCTGGCCTCAAACTTGCCGTCCTCCTGCCTCAGCCTCCTGAGTCCCTGGAAATACAGTCATGTGCCACCGTGCCCAGCCCAGCCCTGTATTTTTTATAAGCAACTTGAATCAAAACCACCGTGGGCATAGCTTCTGATGTTGCTGGCTGCAAGGGACCCATGTCTCTTCTTGAATTGGACACCATGCACGGCAGTATTCACCGAGATGCTGTTCCATCTCTTTTAAACGGCCGTCTTCCTCTAAGCCACCTGGATAGAAGGAACCACTCTATTCCTTTCCTTCTCGAGGGTCACTTGATGAAATAACGCTACTCTTCATTAATCTGAGAGTTCTTTCCAGAGGTTCATCCTGCAAAACCTGGATTCTCTTTATAGAGTATTGTTGGTCTAGACGTCCATGAGGTGTCCTGGCAAGAGCAAAAAACACCTTGCAGTCACATCTCATGTCAAGCATAAGACCATCACTAAGAAGGAGGCCGTGCAGGGGCCATGGGGCACACACAAAGGGTACGAAGCCTTTCAGAGCAGGTGGGTGCTAAGGAGTGGCTTTAGGAGAGAAGATGCTGCTCACCCAGCTAGTGTGTCACAGTGTGGAGGGGACCCTCTCCAGGGCTCCACATGCCCTGTTGGGACTCAGGGGCCAGAAGACGGTCCAGGCGAGAGGTGAGACTACGGGGAAGAGAAAAAGGCAGCGTGGGAGCTGAGCCCCCAAACTGACTTCTGCGACCCCCTCCAGAACCTGTGATGAGACCCATCGGGGCTTCTCCGATTTCACCAGCAGGTGGCGCCCCCGGCTCACACTCGGGACCTGGCTCCCATTGCCCTGGAGCTTGGTGAGGCTGGGGGAGCCGGTAGGTGGCACAAGCCCTAGGCTTGTCACCTTCGGGGACGGGGTGCCAAGGGACCCCAGTTGGGGGGGGACCGGCTTCAGTACCTTCCTGCTCTTCTTCTGCTTTGCCTCTGGAGTAGATGAGATGTAATGGATCTTATTCTCTCTCCACGGAAAGAGTCCTTGTCATGACATGTAGGGAGGTGTCACAAGACCCAGGGCTCTGACCCCTGCAGGGACAGGGCTCATCGCACCCCTTCCCCATCCAGGTCACGGTGGGAGGGGTCACTCTGGCCTGTCAGTGTGACCCCCTAGTTGACACTTGGAAAAGCATCCCTTTGGGGACGTGCTGGGTGGCTTTTTTTTTTTTTTAACGTCAGTCTAGCAGGGGACAGGAATCACGGACCCGCCTGGCGGTCCCTCCTGGGCTTACGCAGGGCGCCATCTGCTGACTTGGCCAGCCTGGGTCAAGGGCACCCGCAGCCTGAGAGCCTGGCTCCTCCTGCCCGGAGGCGGGGACCTGGCTGGTGTCCCCAGGCTGCTGGGTAGGCGCCAAGAGCCAACACCCACTCCTAAGGACTCACTGGCTGGGGTTTGTTCCCCGCCCAGACTCTTCCAGGGCTCTAAAGGACAGTCCTCAGAGGGGGTTGACGGGCGGTGGGAAGGGGGGGGAGTAGGGAGGTGCCTGTCATGTAAGTTGCCCATTTTAACCATTTCCAGAATTCTCACCTTCCCAGACCAAAATTCCCTACTAAATACTAACGCCCCGCGTCCCTCCCCCAGCCCCCTGGCAACCACGATCTATTTTCTGTCTCTATGACTCTGACTACCTTAGGTACCTCTTTTTTTTTGGGGGGTGGGGGGGGTGACATAGCAGAGATTGAACTCAGGGGCACTCGGCCACTGAGCCCCATCCCCAGCCCTATTTTGCATTTTACTTAGAGACAGGGTCTCACGGAGTTGCTCAGCGCCTCGCTTTTGCTGAGGCTGGCTTTGAACTCGCGATCCTCCTGCCTCAGCCTCCTGAGCCGCTGGGATCAGAGGCACGCGCCACCCCACCGTGCCTGGCACCCTAGGTACCTCTTAAGTGTGAAATCACACCGTATTTGTGACTGGCTTGTTTCACTCAACCGAATGTCAGAATTGCATTCCTTTTTATTGATGAATAGTAGCCCATCGTATGGGGAAGCCACATTTTGTTTATCCGCTCATCTGTGGATGGACACCTTTGGTTACTGTGAATAGCACCTCTATGAACACAAGTATCTCCTGCTTTCAATTCT